AAGCTTGACACAAACACTTTGGTTGTCTGGTTTTCAGATGTATAGCCCTAAAGAAATGTTAAATTTCTCTTTGAATAAATTGCTTAAACACTTAAATCCGTATTTTAATGAAATTCTTAAAGTAAAATGTATCCCTTGTTTCTTTCTTTTTCTGGTTTGATAAATATTCTACAGACAAAGTAACTCTGCTTAATGCCCAATCTTCGAGTAAGCCTATCTGCAGATCCAAACACGCCCAGTTCAGACAGTACCTGAGGGCAAGTGCACGTCCACGGAGGTCCCTAACATCTGTCCAGTGCACCTTATGTTACATAACTGTCACATTTCTCAGTAGTTAACTTTAACAAAAGAAAGTTGAAAGCTTTTGTATTCATTCAATGGTCAAAATAATTCTGGGAGGCCAATATTATTTTTAACATGTCTATATTTGAGGAAAGCGTGGCTCAGGGAACTTAGAGAAGTCCTTCGAGGTCACATAATGAGGATGTGGCTAAACAAAAACTTTCTCCTGGGTGAATTAAAACACTCTTGCTCTTTGCAGTTTTGTCCTAATTCTGTCTAACTAGTTTGTGATTTTTAGTTTTTAATAATTTTACCGATTCAGTGGTCTCACATTTAAATTTCTCATTATTTTATGTTCATAGCATGAGATATTTGGTATAAAGATGGAACCAAGATCATACTTTGTTCAATCAAACCTAGGCCAAGTCTTTTTCTTTCTTTCTTTCTTTTTTTTTTTTTTTTTGGTGAGGAAGATTGGCTCTGAACTAACATCTGTTGCCAGTCTTCTTCTTTTTTGCTGAGGAAGATTGGCCCTGGGCTAAGATCTATGCCCATCTTCCTCTACTTTATATGGGACGCCGCCACAGTATGGCTTGACAAGTGGTGCGTCGGTGTGTGCCTGAGATCCGAACCTGCGGACCCCCGGGGCCACCGCAATGGAGCAGCGCACTTAACTGCTGCACCACCTGGCCGGCCCCTTAGGGCAAGGCATTCTGATCCTCACCTAGATTTCACTTAGATGCTGTCATCTCCTTTTGGGCATAAGACAGGAGAAAGCCTCAGAAGACACAGCCTTATAATAATTTCTTTTGATACTTGAGTAATTAACCCTGGAGTAGGATTCACAATGGACTTGTCTTAAACTGAATCAAATACTATTATCAACTGCTTTCTTCTTCTCAAGAATAGACATGTTGGACAGTTGGGTGTTTAGAGTTCTTTGCAATATTTTGCCATTATTAAAAAAATAAATTTTGCATGAAGCTTTTTCTGTATTTAGGTCTATTTCCTCAGAATACGTTTTCCAAAGTGGAGTCATCATGATGTAGAATTTAAGCATGTTTATTTGTTTACAGAAGTTATCCAGTTGCTTCCCAGAATGTTTTATGAATTAACATTCACATCAATAATGTGTAGTGTCGCTATTATCTTCCAAATATAGAATCTTTTTCTGAATATAAAAGTAATTCATACTAATTGTAAACGATGAAGGGTCATGATAGGTGTTCATCCAATAAATACTTCAGGTGTTCATTTAGCACTTTTTGAATGAATGAATGAATGAAAGCACAAGTACAGTCTTTTTGAAATTATTTTTTCTATAATGTAACAGGCTAAAGTTAAATGGCATGCTTTCCTTTTTTACTGACAAAAGTTACTTTCTCATTGATTTAGTAATAAAAATTCTTTGGTTCAGCTGAGAGAAACTTACAAGCTGTTTTCCTTGATCATTTAAAATGAAAGCAGCTGTTACTGTTTTCATCCCTCTGAGTACTGAATAAATTCTGAAATGTGCTCCAACCCTGTTCCCCCGGCTGCCATGAAGGGTGTGACCAATACTTGTGGTTATCTAGACCACAGCCAATTGGTTAGGCTGAAGTTGAGAGACCACAGTCTTTCAGCTAGGAAAGCAGCTTTAGTTCCATGGTGTGCCAACTGAAAGGTCACACATTATTGTCAAAACCCTGTACCTACATCAGTGGTGGCATCTTTAAGGACTTTAGAATTGGGAAATCAGTCTGGCCCCATCTGCATGGGTTGCAGCCAACTGTGTACAACTCTTCCAACCTGAGGTTGCATTCAAAGCGGCCCGTGCTCCTACGTGAAAGCAGCCTGGAGATGTTGATCAATCCAGTGTTATGGTTGGAAGAATGATGAATCATTCCACCCTGGAGCCAGTAGACAGGGGCTCTATCTTGTCACCTGTCATAGTTCCCATGTGAGAATTCTCTCTATCACTGAATTTGAATGGGAGCAGAGAAGGGGAGAAGAGGGAAATCCCCATAGAGTTCAAGAGGACGTGAAGATTGCTTCATATTTAATGTTGGTGTAAATGCTTTGGGTTGAGTATGTGGTATCTGAACATGTGCTCACTGCCATGGCACCAAAATGCAAGGGCAGACAGTCAGATGATGCTCTTCAGAGCATTCCCATGGGGAGGGAACAAAGAAGCCCATGAAACAGAAATGTTAATTTAGAAAGAGTTCCTGAAGCGAGTACCTGCATATTGACTTTGGTCTTGTTTTTGAACTCAACCACCTAACTGCTGATTGCAGCCGTGCCTTTGGAGCCGGGAAGAACCTGGCCAGTTCTGGATCTAACCTCCACAGCCAGAGGCCTTATTTCTTCACTCTTATGATAATTTTGGTTCAAAGTATAGTCCCTTAACAAGCTGCTGCTTCAAAAGCCCCAAACCTCTTTGTTTTGTTATGCTTGCCTAAACATGTCTTTAAAAGAACTAGGTTTGGAAATATGACTTTATTATAATCCTCTCCTTTGCTGTTACATGTAGACTATGAAGTGTATTTCCATAGTCTAAATTTGTCCCCTAATTTAAAATATTTTCTTCTATTAAGTTTGACACCTTAAAACATTAGGGAGTGAAGTCTGCCAAGGTTGTGTATTGGCAGGAGAGGCAAAGCAATGGCACGTCCACCTGTGCTGGTGGACAAACGGAAGGATGTGTTGGGTTCTCAGTAGGCGAGTGTGTTTTTAAATGTATATTTTCACTCCTAGAAGTAAACATAGGCAGTCAGCTCTTTGATATCAGTCTTAGCAATATTTTTTTGGATCCGTCTCCTCAGGCAAAGGCAACAACAGCAAAAATAAACAAATGGGACTACCTCAAACTGAAAAGTTTTCGCACAGAAGGAAACCATCAACAAAACGAAAAGGCAAGCTACTGATTGGGAGACGATATCTGCAAATGATATATCTGATAAAGGGTTAATATCCAAAATATATAAAGAACTCATACAACTCAACATCAAAAAAACAAACAGTCTGATTAAAAAATGGGCAGAAGACCTGAATAGACATTTTTCCAAAGACGACATACAGATGGCCAAGAAACACATAAAAAGATGCTCAATGTCACTAATCATCAGGGGAATGCAAATCAAAACCACAATAGGCTATCACTTCACACCTTTCAGAATGATTGTTCTCAACAAGATAAGAAATAACAAGTGTTGGTGAGGATGCAGAGCAAAGGGAACCCTAGTACACTGTTGGTGGGAATGCAAATTGGTGCAGCCACTGTGGAACACAGTATGGAGGTTTCTCAAAATTAAAACTCAAACTACCATATGATCTAGCAATTCCACTTCTGGGTATTCATCCGAAAAAAACCAAAAACACTAATTTGAAAAGATATATGCACCCTTATGTTCACTGCAGCATTATTTACAATAGCCAAGATATGGAAGCAACCAAAGTGTCCATCAATGGATGAATGAATAAAGAAGATGTAGTGCGTGTGTGTGTGTATATATATATTACCATTTTACTATACTATACTATATATATTATATTACCATATATATATAGTATGTATACTATATGTACTATATATATTACTATTATACTGTATTACTGTATACACACACACACACACACAATGGGATACTACTCAGCCATAAAAAAGAATGAAATCTTGCCATTGTGACAACATAGATGGACCTAGAGGGTATTATGCTAAGTGAAAGAGGTCAGACAGAGAAAGACAAATACCATATGATTTCACTTATATGTGGAATCTAAAAAACAAATGAACAAACAAAACAAGACAGAAACAGACTCATAGATACAGAAAACAAACTAGTGGTCACGAGAGGGGAAGAGGGTGGAGAGTTGGGTGAAATAGGTGAAGGGGATTAAGAGATACGTACTTCTAGTTATAAAATAAGTAAGTTATTGGGATGTAATATACAGTATAGGGAATATAGTCAATCATATTGTCATAACTTTGTATGGTGACAGATGGTTACTAGACTTGTGGTGATCATTTTGTAATGTATGTAAATGTTGGATCATTATGATGTACATCTGAAACAAATATAACATTGTATGTCAACTATACTTCAATAAAAAAAGAAAATAAATGTATGTTTTCATTTGTTATTTTCTATGTATTATATAATTAGACCTTTGATTTATTCTTTGATGCATTGGTTTAGAAGAATATTTTTAATATCCAGCCAGCTGAGTTTAATTTAAACTCTCTATTGATTTTAGGTTGTACAATGTTGTGGTCAGAAAATATTACCTAGTGTATGTTATGTTTGTAAATATTCTTTAGACACACAATAATGTGATAGGCCATCTTTTTGCAAGGTAAAAAATTCATTATACAGTTATTAACTCAACATTATAATTATATTATTTAAATGCCTTGTGATATGTATTTTTTGTGTACTAAAGTTCTTACAGACTATTTTGTCTTAAAGATTTTCATGGAATTTTCATCTATTTCCCTTAAATTTTTAACATTTTTAAATAATTCCATCCATTATAGGGATGAGTTATCCCTTGTTATGAACTGCGCCTTATATGAACTCATTTTTTTGTCACATTTGCCTTGAGTGACCTTTGATCAGCATTAATACTCCAAGTCACTGAAGTGCACAAAGTTAGTTGAAGTTTGTGAATATTGTGTTATTTTAGTTTTGCTACTTTACTTGGCATTTCATGTGATATCTTGTTTTCCTTTTCTCCAGTTTGCCAAGGCACGAGTAACAGGCTTACCCAGCTGGGCACTTTTGAGGACCACTTTCTGAGCCTCCAGAGAATGTTCAATAACTGTGAGGTGGTCCTTGGGAATTTGGAAATTACCTACATGCAAAGGAATTATGACCTTTCCTTCTTAAAGGTTAGTTCTATGAATTTGATTGTCTTACTCAAATATAATAGAAGTAAAGATAAGTAGACAAAGGCCTTGGCAGAATTTAACTGGAAGTGTATTTGCTTTTGCTCTGACAGTTACAAGTCCCAGGGAATGCAGAGGTGAGTTTTATGGGAAGCTCCTTTACCAGCTGGTGTCAAGTTATAGCTATAAAAGAATATCCAAAACAGACAGGTATTCTGGCATCCCGCTATCATCCAAGACGCTGATGTTCATCTTTTAACCATTGCTTCAGCTGTGCTATCCTGGCTCTTAAAAAAAAAGGTTCTGCTTTGTAGCATTTGCCTATTTCCTTGGCTTATTTCCTTGTAAATATTCTCACCATGGTTGATTTCCAGCTACCAACAGTTTTAACAGCCAGTTCACAAAATTCCCGAATATTTCACAGTAGGCTCTAGTGAGCCAATAGGAGCAGCTCTGAATGCTTCCAGGGTTTGGTGGTAGTGGAACTTTGGAGTTGATTGGCCTTTTCCTGGGTTTCTTTATTTTTTTTTTTTAAATATGAAAGCATGCAAGATACAAAATAAATTAATACAACATTTCCATTTTCATCTGAGTGTGTTGAACACCAGGTAAAGTGAGGGTCACAGCACTCCTAAGTAACGCACGTTGCCCTCCACTGTTGCAGCAGGTGCGAGAGGCGAAGGTGAAGAATCCTCTGAAATCCTGTCACCCCACATGCAGCTGTAGTCATCTATGTGCTTTAGATTTGTCAGCCACTCACGTGCATCATTCATTTAGGTGTCCTGGGTTCTCTGGACCCATTTTAGACCTTGAATTCTTCAGTTCCTCAAAAGAAGAATAACATGTTCACGTTTTATCTCCTTAGACCATCCAGGAGGTTGCTGGCTATGTACTCATTGCCCTCAACACAGTGGAGACGATTCCTTTGGAAAACCTGCAGATCATCCGAGGAAATGTGCTCTATGAAAACACTCATGCCTTATCAGTCTTATCCAACTATGGTGCAAATAAAGCCGGACTGAGGGAGCTTCCCATGAGGAACTTACAGGGTGAGAGGCCAGGGCACGAGGAGGCTCTCAATGCAGAGGGCAGCTCGGGTGGTGCTCAGCAAACCTGTCACTTTTCTTAATTCCGCTCAGAAAGGACTTTGATTCATCAAATACAAATGTAGTGAGTGCCAGCTGTGTGTAGGATACAGCAGGTGGAAGTTACTAAGAAGATGGTGGGCAATGGGATGGAAAGGGAAGATTTAAGCCAGGTACCATTTCTCCCATGTTCATGGAAAAAAATCCAGAGTTAGTAAGATGATAAAGGTTCTAGGGAAAAGAGAGTATGACCGGATAACCTGGGCGGGAATGCAGACTTTTTGTGCCTAGGGAGTGAATAAACTGTCGATCTTACTACCTACCTCAGGTATAAGGAACATACATTAAAAATCAACCCCTAGGGGCCGGCCCAGCGGCTTAGTGGTTAAGTGCGTGTGCTCTACTTCAGTGCCCTAGGGTTCGCAGGTTCGGATCCCGGGTGTGCACTGATGCACCGCTCATCAAGCCGTGTTGCGGCAGCGTCCCATATAAAGTAGAGGAAGGTGGGCACAGATGTTAGCCCAGGGCCAGTCTTCCTCAGCCAAAAAAGAGGAGGATGGGCAATGGATGTTAGCTCAGGGCTAATGTTCCTTACAATAAAAAAGAAAAAAATCAACCCCTATTTGAAACAGTTTCCAGAGTAAAACTGTTATACCGAAGCCCTGTTAAAGTTAAGGGTAGAGAATGAAGGTATAACAGAAGTCTGAATTCTTGTGAGTAGGACACTGTGAGGGTCCTGTGAGGGGAAACTGTGGAAGATGGTAGAAGAGACAGGAAGCTGATGTAAACTGACTGAAGAGAACGATGCCTGTGCCTCCCTCTGTGGCAGGTGCAGAGCCAGGCATGTTCAATTGGTTACTTCATTGGATGCTCACAACTGTCCTCAAAGCAGCTGTTACAATCTGCTGTTTTACAAATAAAGAAATGCGGGCAAAAGAACCCTCCTAAGGTCCCAAACTAGTGAAAAAATGGCCAGGGATGGCCTCCAAATCCCTGCCCCCGAGCCCTCGCCCTTCCCATGTGCTGTGCAGTTCTCCTGGGAAGGAGCTGACCAGGAAAGGAGACGAAAGCAGAGGATGCCTACCAGAAAGAGTCATCCTGGCAATGGTGGGAGCCCAACAGGCAGCAATGCTGGGGCTGGGCAATGTGCCCAAACCCAGCATGGAACTCGCCAGGCATGGCCCTCTGGTTCAGTTCCTGGGTTTTGCCATTCTATAAAACTGCCTTAAGAATTTCCATTCACCACTTTAACTGCACAGAGCACCCATGCGCAGCTTTCTGTGTTGATGCTAACACTAGTTTGTGCTATTCACACTTTTTGTGAAATGCACTGTTCTGTGCATTGGCACACCTCAGTGTGCCTGTCTTGCCTCTCACGATCTCATGGTGACAGGCAGGTGTGGTTAAGAGCGTGGACCCCAGAGCCAGACTGTCTGGGTTCCAGTCTGGCTCCAGCCGTCACCAGCCAGATGCCCCCAGAGCGTGTTCTCTCTGTGTCTTAGTTTCCTCCTCTTCAAAAATGTGGATGACAATGGTAACATACTTCCTAGAGTTGTTGAGAAAATTAAGTGAATAACTATAGGTAAAGCACTTAGGAGCTGTTTCTATTGATGATATTATTTCTCTTGCTGGTATTAGTGTTGTATAAATCCAGATTAAATAATTATTTAATGTGAATTATTTAATATTAATTAAATACTGTTGTTAATAATTAACCCAGTGCCTACCATAAAGTGGGCAGTCATTCAATGTTGAAAGTAAAAATAAAAGAATGACTGCCTCCGGATTACTGCCTCTTTCTCTTCTAAGCTATCAGGCTTAGAAGGGCCCCTGAATCCGTCAGCACCTTGCTGCCTCCCTTCACCTCTCACAGTTGCTGATCGCAGGTGTTCTGTAAGGCCCCACCTTGACCTCGCATCTTATACGCTCTTTCTTGGCACCCTGGTCTGTTGTCCTAATGGTCACGACAGCCTTGACATCCCTATTCTGCACTTCCAATTCTGACTTCTCATCGGTTTCGTCCACCTGACTCTGGCCCCCTCTGTAGTGAATGTTTTCACTTGACTGTCCTGCTGTCATCTCTGACTTTATATCCAAAGCTCCACAATTTGGCCCTTTCTGACCTCCCAGCCTGTCTTCTGTGATGTTCTCCACCATCCACTGAAGAAACTGCCCACCTGTCCTGCCCTCTGTGTCTTTACTCCGTCTTCTGTCTGCCTGGAGCCTTCAGCACCCTCCCTCCGTGTCCCTATGCAGGATGCTCCCGTCAGCGTGCTGGGACATGTCGTTCTTTCCAACAGCCTAAGATATCCTCCCTGGGAGCACCCTCCCTTCTCTACGCTGGCACTTTGTGTGCATGGTGTATCCATTCCCTGCCTGTGGCATGTGCGGCATTATTTGTGTATCTATATTTAAACTACAGAGTCATGGGACCGTTGTGAGGATTAACTAAAATAATGCGTATGTATCAACTCACATGGTACCCGGCCCTGCCATGTGTCATGGTCTCTTGTGTGCATGAAGTTGTTCGCTGTGTGACCTGTCTGTCTCCCCACGTGTGTCAGTTCTTAGCGAGAAGCCCGTTGATCCAATTCATCTTTGCAGACCCTAACGCACTTGCTACCATGTTTTGTGCATATAAGTCATTCAGTAAATGTTTACATTTAATGTCATTGATGCGATACTCTCCCTTTGCTCGGGCTTGAGTTTTTTTAATCACTCCTAATTTTTCATGTCCTATCAGTTCTTCCTTTGAAACAGTTGTACAGTCTTTTACATCCTTTGCATTCCTGGTGTCCGCCCTGTCTCTTCATCGTACATACAAATTCTTCTTGCTCCACATCACTCGTCACACCCCTTTCTCCAATGAAATGCTCCAAAAGCACCTCACAGCATCCCCACCTTCTCCTGACATTACCAGCCTACAGTGCTGGTTATTGCCGCTTGCCCGTCCTGTTGCGCCTGCCCCTTCATGTCGTCGTACTGTCGTTCCTGTCCGGCCAGGATCAGCCTCCTCAGGAACCCCCAATTCCCCGTACACTCATCGTTTATGCTACGTCCACTGACTAAAAGCATTATCCCCTTCCTCCCCGTGTTTCTAAATTCTGATCACTCGTTGTTCAAAGGCCCAATTCAGGGGAAACGCTACCTCCTCCGTGGCACTGTCATCCACTCATTTCTCATCTGCCCTTGCTGAAGGTCTTTGAGGAGTCTTATCTGCACACTGGCATCGTTTTAGCAGAACACAAAATGTAAAGAAACGCATGCATACTTCATGAGAGTTTAGAAGAGATGGCAGGTTTGGTTACTGAGGTTCCTTTCTCTCACAGAAATCCTGCAGGGCGCTGTGCGATTCAGCAACAACCCTATCCTCTGCAACGTGGAGACCATCCAGTGGCGGGATATTGTCAGCAGCGATTTTCTAACCAATATGTCAGTGGACTTTCAGAACCAACTGGGCGGTTGTAAGTGTTCCACAGAAGTCCCCTCTGCCCCGAGCTCCTATGGTTGGGCAATGCTGTAGAGTGTTGGGGTGGAGGTGAGAGAAGACAGAGTTGATGGTAAGTCACATTAAAACAAAAATAAGTACAGTCACATGTCACTTAATGACAGGGATACGTTCTGAGAAATGCGTCATTAGGTGATTTTGTCGCTGTGCGAATATCATGGAGTGTACTTACACACACCTGCATGGTACAGCCTCCTACACCTACACAGAGTCCAGCTACACAGAGCACCTGGGCTCTGTGGTGCTGATCTTCTGCGACCACTGTGTGTATGTGGTCTGTCGTCAACTGAACATCATTATGTGGTGCATGACTATAGTAAACAAATTATCTGCCCTCTAGAAAAGCACGTATTTAGGACAGAGAGGATAAGTCTATTTTTCATGGTGACAGCACCCTTGCTGGCAAGACAGATCACCCCCCAGGACAGCTGAGCCCTCCTGTGGCCATTGAAAAGAGGCCGTCAGTCCTGGCACGGGGGCTCCTCCCATCCTGCCATGAGGAGATTGGCCCAACTTTTGTGTGCTTCTCACTTGCTGCTGAGTCTCAACGTGGCGCCAGGCCCTCTCGTAGCATTGGGCCTGAACTCTGCCCTCCCGCTGATGGGCCTGGGCAATCCCACACTGCCCCCCAGCAAAACTGGATGAGCGCTTGGGGAGGGAGTTTGTCCGTATTCCCTATGCCCATGACCTAGTCCCTGCCCATTCAACAGTAAAGCAGCCTGCGCGAGGCAGAGGCTGGCAGGGGGCCAGCTGGAGGTGAGGGCTGCACCACTTGCCCCGTCAGCAGCGCAGTGTGGGAAACTCTGAAGACACGTGCTTGGGGGCTTACACTTACCAAGCTTCACTTAGCTTGCCCGCTCCTGGTCTCCCTGGTCTTTCAATCCTTTAACATAAGGAGCCGTCACCATGTCCTGCTTCTCTGTTTCCCCACAGCTGTGCAGTGGGTGCGTGGGTTTTTTGGTCTCAATTTGGGGTTAACATGGATTTTCATAATCAACTAGATCCCCTTTGTTTTTTGTTTGTTTTTCATTTGATTTGATTGATTGATTGTGATAAAATACCTTTAACATAACATTTACCATCTTAAACAATTTTTAAGTGTACAATTCAGTGGAATTAAGTACATTCACATCGTTGTGCAGCCATCACCACCACCATCCATCTCCAGAACTCTTTTCACCTTGCAGAACTGAAGCTCTGCACCCGTTAAACACTAACGCCCCATTTCCCCTCCCCCAGCCCCCGGCATCCACCATTCTACTTTCTGTCTCTATGAATTTGACTTCTATAGCTGCCCCATATGAGTAGAATCACACAGTATTTGTCCTTTTGTGACTGGCTTCTTTCACTTACCACAGTGTCTTCAAGAATCATCCATGTTGTAGCGTGTGTCAGAATTTCCTTCCTTTATATGGCTGAATAATATTCCATGTGTCTGTATACACATTTTTTTAATCCATTCATCCATCGATGAGCGCTTGGGTTGCTTTCACCTTTTGACAATTGCAAATAATGCTGCTGTGAACATGGGTGTTGAGCTCCTTTGTTTTATAAATATATTATTCCAAGAGATACCCAGGATGGCAACTGCTGTGTTTGCAAGAAACTGAAAGCTTTATTTTACAATGCAAAAGTTTGTATTGTCCATGAGATCACAGTTCACCTTTCCTCAGCCATCTGATGGACAATGGGGAGGTTAAATTTTGCGCATTTATAACAAAAGAAGTGACATGTAAAGGCTGTGAGGCTTGTATGGGTTTGCCATGGACTAGATCAGGCAGCCCAAATTGGCACACCAGCCCTTATCACACTGCAACCGTGGGAAAGATCTGGCAGGAAAGTATTGAGAAAGAAGAGTGATGGACAGGTTTATGCAAGAACAAGATTCAAATATTACAAAGCTATGAACTATAAACCAATATGATATTGTTAAGAATAGACATATAAGAATAAGCCATAGACATGTAAGAATAACATAATAAGAATAAGCCTAACTAAATCAAATGTCCATAAAGAAATGACATTTTAAGCAAATAAGGGAAGAATTCATTATTCAATAAATTCTTCTGGAATGATTTTACTACTAGGGGGAAAATATCAAAGTGGCAGAACTATAAAGGATTTTTTTTAGAAGGAACTAGGGATATTAGGTTAGTCCCATTGGAAATTACCAAATCACCATTCACCTGCCACCTGCATTTTCCACATTTGTTACCTGACCAGTGACAAGTTCAGGAGCCTGACACTCTCCTTGTGGAAGGAGAAACCCCGCCCTCACCTAGTGCTTTTCAGGCCACATCTAACTTCTGAGAACTTATCTCATTTAATCTTTACCCAAAAATCTCACAAGGTGATTTAAGTGCTTGATGAACAGGCATTTGAGATTTAGAAAGGTTACCCAATGTGCCCCAAGAAATGTGCCCCAACATTACATTGTTCTTTTTTTTGTGTGTGGGGAAGATCAGCCCCGAGCTAACATCCATGCCAATCCTCCTCTTTTTGCTGAGGAAGACTGGCCCTGGGCTAACATCCGTGCCAGTCTTCCTCCACTTTATGTGGGACATCACCACAGCATGGCCTGACAAGCGGTGTGTCGGTGCGAGCCCGGGATCTGAACCCGGGCCGCCAGCAGCGGAGCGCTTACACTTAACCGCTAAGGCATGGGGCTGGCCCCTTGGATTTTTTTTTTTTTTTTTTAAGAGGAAAACCAGCCCCGGGCTAAAATCCGATGCCAATCCTCCTCTTTTTGCTGAGGAAGATTGGCCCTGGGCTAACATCCGTGCCCATCTTCCTCCACTTTATATGGGACGCCACCACAGCAGGGCTTGACAAGCAGTGCATAGATCCATGCCCAGGATCTGAACCCACGAACCCCGGGCCACTGAAGCAGAGCACGAGAACTTAACCACTTCACCGGGCCAGCCCCTTTGGGTTCATTTTGATTCTTAGGTACCTGGATCAGCAAGGGTATGGAGAAACAGAAATTCTCATATTGTGCTTGTGGGCATACATACATAGGCAGGGAGAGAATTTTGGCAATATGTGTTAAAGCTTTAAAGTGTGCACACCTCTGACCCATGAATTGCGTGTCTAGGAATAATAAGAAAATAAATAATAAGGGGAGGGGCCGGTCCGGTGCCATAGTGGTTAAGTGTGCGCACTTGACTTTGGCAGCCTGGGCTTCTCAGGTTTGGATCCCAGCCGCGGACCTGTATACTGCTCCTCAAGCCATGCTGTGGCGGCGTCCCACGTGCAAAATGGAGGAAGATGGGCGGGGATGTTTAGCTCAGGGCTAATCTTCCTCAGCAAAAAGAGGAACATTGGCAATGGATGTTAGCTCAGGGCCAATCTTCCTCACCAAAGAAAATAATAATAATGAGGAGAGTGAAAATCATAAGGAATGTAAAAAAGTGTTTTTGTAGAAAAATATTCCTTGCAGTCTTGTTTATAATAAATTTTATAAACAACTTATACATCTAAAAATAAGAGATTGGTTAAATAAATTATGATACAGCCTTGCCATTAAAAATCATGTTAGGTAGAAGGATATTTAAAGACAGGGGAAGGGCCGGCCCCGTGGCTTGGTGGTTGAGTGAGCGCGCTCCGCTGCTGGCGACCCGGGTTCGGATCCCGGGCTCGCACCGACGCGCTGCTTCTCTGGCCATGCTGAGGCCGCGTCCCACATACAGCAACTAGAAGGATGTGCAGCTGTGACACACAACTGTCTACTGGGGCTTTGGGGGGAAAAAATAAATAAATAAATAAATAAATCTTTAAAGACAGGGGAAAATTGTCATAACCTTTTATTAGTTTTTTTTTTAAGTTATAATGCAATGTATAGTGTGACATCAATTCTTATATATACATACACTTCTATGTCTGTATTAATTACCTCTGGATGCTTTCTTCTTTTTGCTTTTTTCTATTATCCCTATCTTATATAATGTGTCTGCATTTCTTTTCTGTCACAGTTAAGAATAGAATTATAAGCAGACCTTGAGTTCCTTGGTTTCAAATGTTTTCCTCTATTACAGAAAGATGCCATTAAACATTTTTATTTTAAATAGTTTTTCTTTTATAAATCTATTACATGCTTATAATAGAAATTTGAAAAATATGGGGAAGTATAAGGTAAAAAGCGAAAATAACATATCCCCATACAGACACAAGCACTTTAACATTTATCTGTATTGCTGTTGCTCTCCCTCTGTTTCCTTCTCTCTCTGTGTCTCTCTGTCTCTGTCTCTCTGTCTTCACAGCGTACAGCCCACACTGTTCATCTAGGGTTCAGCCTCATGGTCTTTCATGATTCTAAGGAGCACCAGCCTTGCGTTAATGCCTTCCCGCCCCGGGGATGATCATAAAGATTGTCAGTCATATTAAAAGGGTGTCCTGGTTCAGCAATCACGTGACAAATCGTCAGCTCTTCTGTTTGAAATCTACATTCTCTCAGATACTAAATTCTTCCTGCCTGTGGGAGACGTTGGGACACATATTAACTCCTTTAGGTTATTGTGTCTGCGCCATGCAGAAAACTGCATGACAAATTTAGTGTCAGCTTGTTTTCTATGTATAGATAGAACACTTTGGTCTTCAGATTTTTCAATGCTGATAAAAACAAAACACAGCTAATGAGATTAAAAACCACTGCAGCTGTAATTTGTACTTGCTCATTTATAAAAACTGCAAAAATTGATTGATCAATTGCAAATATTTTCAGACAGTAGCTTGCAAATTAATAGCTAAGGTTCTAGATAATCAACAAAGTGACACACACTATGAACATTTCACTCTTTGTGCAGCATCCTGTGCCGCTCTCTGACTTGGAGTCCAGGGGTTTTTATTTACAGGACCCCAGCTCCCCCTGGGTGACTGACCACCCAGTCACTCAAGACTGGACATAGCAAGAACGTAGTGGGTGCACCAGATTAGATACTTTTAACATTACTGTGGGAGATGGCTGGTGTGCCAACACTCTTAACCTTATTGTGGGAGATGCTAGGCTTCCAAGCCTAAGCAAATTTGAAATCTGGACCCTTGAGTTCATTTAAATCCTGGTTTTTGCGGCCTGTGAGAAGTCAATAATCACTCTCTGCCTCAGTTTCCACAGCTGAAATGTAAACAGAAGCAGTACATGGTTCATCTTTTTATTCCTACAAGAGTGTTTTAAGTCATCTTACAAAGCAACCAGACAAACAAACAAACAGAATAAGAAATTTGAAAGCTATTCCTCGTTTCTAGAATGTCACTTTGCTCAGGGACTTAAGAAGAGTGTCAGTTTCTTGTCACTCGTTGCCTTTCCCTGAGATATGAATTAACTATTACTTTTATATTTTAGGCCAAAAGTGTGATCCAGGCTGTCCCAATGGAAGCTGTTGGGGTGTGGGAAAAGAGAACTGCCAGAAATGTAAGTCACTGAGCAGACTTTCAGATAACTATGTGGCCACCTCCTCCCCCTCATACTCAGCTGACTGTCTTTGTTTTCCCTTTGAAGACTCCAAAAAGCATCCTTGGTGATAAGGCCAGATGTTAGCAGTAATGTGAATGACGGTCTTGCAAATCTCCCTGCATGCGGTTAATCCCGTGTGGGCTATTCTTGGTGCTTCAGCCTGTCGTAAATAAGTGAAAGTCAGCCACCCGTCTACCCGGCATTCTCTCTGAACAATATGTTTGGCGGATTTTTCTGAGAATGGAAGACTTTGTTACCTGAGTCTACACTTCTTGCTTTCCCTCCGTTTCCCCCTCTCTTTTGGTACCCACCTACGTAGAAGCACAAGCACCTTTTTTCAAGAGGCTTTTCCTGCGAGAATTGTTGTTTAGGAGCGTGGCTGGCCAAGGAATCTGGGGACATGTCAGCTTAACACTTGACCATCTGTCCTAAGTTTACTTGTGACATGACTGTTATGTCCTTTTAAATGCTACTTCCTGTCAGGCCTTTTTGTTATTTGTGCATGCTGTCCGTATTACCCCAAAACTCAGCTCTAAATAGGAAAAAAAAGGAGTACAATAAAGAAACGTCATGAATCGGTGTCATTTGGCAGAATGCGAATGTTTGAGGATGTTAACAAGCCACTGAATTGTGGAGTCCATCCTTTCCTTCACTTGTTCATCCACTGTTTGCAAGTACTCTGCAAGGTCCGTGGGAAATGACCCTTCCATCCTCTCTGCTCTTCAGCTCATGGGTGACCTTTGCTCTTTTCAGTGACCAAGACCATCTGTGCCCAGCAGTGTTCAGGGCGCTGCCGCGGCAGGTCTCCCAGCGACTGCTGCCACAACCAGTGTGCTGCCGGCTGCACAGGGCCCCGGGAGAGTGACTGCCTGGTAAGAGCGCCCCAGCCCAACATGGGGCGCTTCTCTGGCCCAGGATTTAGGGGCCTCTCTGTGGGAGAAGTCTGCCGATTAACACTGGTAGTAGTGACATGGATGTTGTCCTTTGCCAAGTAACAAAGCATCTTTTATTGTCCTGCCTTCACCACCTACTTTGTGACCTTGGGCAAATTATATGACATCACCATGCCTCAGTTTCCTCGTCTGACAATGGTGGATAGTAAGGTACCTAACTGTCAAGTAGTCTAAATGACACAATGCATGTGGCATCCATAACCAGGATCTGGGCATAGAATGAGCATAAATATGAAATATGTGTTATTTGTCATTAATGTTTATTGTGGCCAGCAGCAGTATCGTCACATTCCTTATCATTTAACTTAATTTTCGTTACAAACCTAGGGAGTTGATACTGATATAGAGATATATATCTACAATATATACAGAGATGTTCAGAGACCCATCCAGAGCCACACAGATCTTGAGTGTCATGGCTGGGACTACATTTGGATCTTCTGACCCAGTCCGTCTGCTCTTTCCATCATGGCTCAGCTGCCTCCTGCCCACCCCCAAGGGGTCTTGAAGCACTCACTTTTGTCCCTGTTCCTGCAGAAAGCTCTAACAAAAGCTTGTTGCCCCAGTAGGCTGTGGGTACACCACACATAGGAGGCCTCTTGGTTGTGAGCACCTTGGAAGTCCTGGAGACACCAGGACTGGCAGAGCTGAGTCCTGGAGTCAGCGCCGAGTGTGACAAGACCCTCGTGGGCTCCAGACAAGGAGGCCCACCTAAGGTGGAATCCAAAACACTGTGTCAGGGAAAGGATGATTTTTAAATTCCAGAGGCTGGACCCGGCCCCAAAGATTTTGCCTCGTTTGGTCTGGGCTGATTCTAATGTGTAGCTGGAGAGGCCACCACTGTGTTTGGTCTGGTCCTCTGTGCATGGCACCCTTCCTAGTCAAGGTTTTCTGTGGTTTGGCAATAAATTCTAAAACGTATCTCAAGTGTTCTTTATGAGGGAAACCTAATGTAAATTGAGTTTAAAAATAATTTCACTCCATAGTTACCACTCTGGTGTGTGAACTCCTTCATCATTTTGTAAATTAATAAAGAAATGTATTTTTCTTTCATCATAGTCCAGAAATTATCACAGCTGGGACAGTATATTTAAGAGAAAGGTCTTTCTGACTCTGCTGAAAGTACTGTGCTAGATTTTTCTGCCCTAATCGCACGCCTGCACAGTAAGGACTGTAACATGAGCTTTCTGCACCCAGTCACACAGTGCTGAGGGTCCTGGCCCAGCCTGACCAGCGTGCCACCTCTCCTGTGACAGGTGTGCCGCAAGTTCCGGGACGAAGCCACATGCAAGGACACCTGCCCGCCACTCATGCTCTACAACCCCACCACGTACCAGATGGACGTCAACCCCGACGGGAAGTACAGCTTTGGCGCCACCTGCGTGAAGAAGTGCCCCCGTGAGTGCATCGCAAAGGGCCCCTTGCCTTGGTTGGCAGCCCTTTCCTGTTTGGGCTCCTACTGGAACCCTGAGTCCCCTGTCTCGGGGAGTCTTTGGGTCTGTGTGTCTGCTTCGTGTCCAGGCAGGTGACCGTGGGCCCGTCCGGGTGTACAGGCGAGGCGCCAGCCTGCCGCTGCAGGCGACAGGTGAGGGCTGCCGCTCTGCTCCTTGGTGGGGCTGCTCGTGCTGTGGTGGCCAGGACAAGAGACCCGCCTGTTGTGCGGCCCCCTGGAACTGAGGTCCAGTGTAGCAGTCCAGAATATTCCCTTGTCTGACTGGCACAAGGCCACAGCGATCGGGCCGTTTGACAGGCAGGTATCGATGGTCCTGAATTAGAGAGCGTGTCGGCCTTCTTTGGCCGTTATGATTCTGGTGAAAGCCGTGCCTCTCAGGAGTGCCGCACAGGCTCTGTTTGTTGTTGGGTTTGGCTTCAGTTGTTTGGTGTTGCTTATTTATGTTTGCGTTCTACAGGTGGCTATAGCGTTTGGGGAAATGGTGACATGAATTATTTCCTAATCGAGAAAGTGTAGAGTTGTCTGATTAAAGAGCTTTAGAAGCCAATCTTGATTTCTAGGAGGGTGATTCACTAAGGAAAAAAAAATTAAGAACAATTATGAAGGGGAGATTTGCCCTACCAGATTTGTGGATATGAAAATTTTTAAATTCTGTGCATAAAAAATAAAACACAAATGGAATAATAAGCCATTGTAAGGTAAATGAAAAACTAAGATAAAAAAAAACTTGCCACAATTATGACACAGATATAATCTGTGAAAGAAGTAGAGTTTAAAAATACACAAGAGAACACTCACAGCCTAAGAGAACACAAGCAGACAACTCACAGAAGAAAAATGACAAATGTCCAGTAAATATGTCTGAGGAGCTACTTGGGGAAGCCAAAACAGGAACACATAGAGCTCCTAAAAAATATTAGTATTCGTGTTAATATTAGCACAAATAAATTACTTCAAGGGGGAGGGGAGGCTGAGAAAACAACCCATGTACCTAGCTTCATGCAGAACCAGTTGGTCCTACCACCCCCAGCAAAGGGAAGATCGCCAGGCCAAGAGGATCATGGAAGGGGAAGACGCCACCCACAAGAATTAAACGCAACCTCAAATGTAGCAGCTTCGGTGGAAGAGTGGTCTTTGTTTAGGTTCACGTATTTTTAATAAGTATTCAAGCTTTAACCATAAGTCCCGAAGGTAGAACCTACACAAATAAATGAACTGCAGAGGTGTTTAAACTTGTGAACGTGCACACTGTTTTCTCTGTAACACATCTGTTTTCCTGCCTGTGATGAGATATCTTTATTTCTCCATATCATGGTGTGGAAAGCTATTAAAACTCTTGAACTCTATTCCTTTTCTGTTTGCAGCCTTTCATTCTTTGTCTTTAAAATAAATAAAACCAGAGGAGTATGTACCCTTTTCATCAGCCCCGTTATAGGAGGACACGAGACAATTGTGTGAGACCCAGAAGCACCTGGAGCCGCCTTCGCCACCTTCCTTTCATTGTTTCTTCCCCAGGTAACTATGTGGTTACAGACCATGGCTCCTGTGTCCGCGCCTGCAGTTCTGACAGCTACGAGGTGGAGGAAGACGGAGTGCGCAAATGTAAAAAGTGTGAAGGGCCTTGTCGCAAAGGTAGGGAGCCTGCTCCGTGTGGAGTCAAGGCTCTTTCTCTGGTCCTGAAGCTCCCCTGCCAGGCCCCTTCAGCATCACACTTAGAAGAGATTTGAGTAAATTTCTTTCTTTAGCCTCAGAAATTTGTTCCTTCTTTTATATCCTGTCCTGTTCTTGGAATATCCTCAATGTCAATTTATTCCTACTTGGCCTTTATTTTATCTTTTATTTTGAAATTTTTCAAACACCCAGAAATGTTGCAAGAATAGTGCAAAGAACACCCATATGCCTTTCACATAAATTCACCAATTTTTAATATTTTGCCACACTGTTTTCACTCTCTCCATGTTTGTGTTTCTCTGTGTGTGTGTACATGTATGTGTGCATCCGTGTGTGCATTTTTTCTGAACTTTGTGGTGATTACAGACACTATAGCACTTCACCCCTCCACGTGTCAGCATACTTTTCCTACAAAGGGAGGCATTCTCCTAAGTAATGAATGACAGTTTCACACTCATCCCGAGTTTAATTTCACTCACTGCTATCTTCTAGTATTCGATTTAATTTAAACTTCCCCTGTTATCCCAAGTCATTTTTAGGCGTTTTTCCATCCAGAAGCCAGTCAAGGATCATGGGGTTCATTTAGATGTGCTGTCTCCATACTCTTCATTACTCGTGAACTTTTCTCAGCTCCCCTCCCCCACATTCTTTCTTTTCTCTCCCGTGACCTGAAGTTGTGAAGAGTCCAGGCCAGGTGTTTTGCAGAATGTCCCTCAGTCATTTATATTGCGTCCACTGTGTTGCTGTTATAAATAACACCTCAATGAATAGCTGCTTACCTGGAATATCCACTTCAGATGCCACCTTCCCTATGAAGCCATCTGTGATTTCAGTTAAAACTGATTGCTTCTATAGACACTTCACGTGTATTCTTTCATGGAGCAGGCTCAGCCTTCATGTTCCAAGTCATCGAATCCTCTCAACCCCTCTAGGAGGTCTGTGTTTTTATGAACCCCATTCTGCAGATGAGGACACTAAGTCATAGAGAATCTAAGTGACTTGTCCAAGGTCCAGCAGCTGGGAATGACAGAGTTGAGATTTGAAGCTCTTGTAGTCTCAGTCCCAGGCCAAACCTGGCCATGTCTGTCTTCCTGGTCTTGTAACTCCTGTGGGGCAGGTGGGTTGGTGCCCTCAGAGATGAGTACCCTTTGGCTTCAGGAAACTTCCTGGCAGAGGAGACATGGAAGGAAGGAAATAAAAACTTGGGGAGCATCAAGGTGGAGTGAGCATTCCCCGTAGACTCTCCCCCATAAGATACAACAAAAAGGACATTCAAATACCAACAGAGGACACACACAACACAAAAGACGTCTGAGAGACACATGCAGCCTTACATCTGAAGGTGGAGGTGCTGGAACCCCCAGAGAAAGTGGAAGGAGGTAAGGGGAACTCCTCTCCTTCCCCAATGACAGCAACCCTGGGACCAGGTCAGCATGGCTCTCAAAGAGAGAAGGGGCGAGGGGCAGCCCTCTGTGGGAAAACCATCACTCTCCAAGCTCTCTCACAGCCTGTGGGAAATTCCCATACGGAGGGGACTGAACTGTTGTGGTGGTGCCTTCATCACGCTAGTACCCCAGGAGAGCAGATAGCAAGGGAAGCACGAGAAGCCCCTGGGATTGGGCAGGAGAAAGAAAGAGCCCCTCCCCCTTCCTGCAGCACCAGCATATCCAGTTGGCCAGAGTGCCCACAGATCGCGGCAGGCCCAGAATACGCAGCTCTTGACCCCCACCTAGTGGCAGCAGGTGGAAGCTGTGGTCAGAGGTTTCAGAATGAGGAAAAATAAGCCCACGCCCTCAAGCAGTATGCAAAAATATATTAAATCTCCAGGCCAGAAGGAAAATGACAAGCACCCACAAATCAGTCCTGAAGGCACAGAAATTTATAACCTAAACCACAGAGAATTCAAAATAGCTATCATAAAAAAGCTCAATGAATTACAAGAAAACATAAATAGACAATTCAATGAAATCAGGAACTTCTTCACAAAAGAGATTGAAACTAAAGAAAAACCAATCAGAAATGTTGGAGATGAAAAACACAATGGAGGAGATAAAGAAAGATCTGGAATCTTTAAAGAACAGAGCTGAAAATGTGGAGGAAAGAAAGAATTATTGAGGATGGGAATGCAGAAATGCTCCAGATGGTGGAGGAGAGAGAACTAAGACTGAAAAATGAAGAAATTCTCCGAGAAATATCCAACTCAATTAGGAAATACAACATAAGGATTATAGGTATTCCAGAGGCAGAAGAAAGGGAAAAAGGAGCAGAGAGCTTATTCAAAGAAATAATAGCTGAGAACTTCCCAAACCTGGGGAAGGAGCCAGAAATACAAGTGAATGAAGTCAATAGATCTCCTAAATATAACAACATAAAAAGACCCTCTCTAAGGCATATAGTAGTAAAGCTGGCAAAAGTCAATGACAAAGAAAAGATATTAAAGGACAGCAAGACAAAAAAAAAAAAAAAAAAACCTACAAAGGTACAAAGGAATTCCTATCAGGCTCTCAGCCGATTTCTCAACAGAAACTTTACAGGCCCTATGGGAGAGAGTGGAATGATATATTCAAAATTCTGAAAGACAAAACCTTTCGGCCAAGAATACTCTATCCAGTGAAAATATCCTTCAGATATGATGGAGAAATAATAGCTTTCCCAGATAAACAAAAACTAAGGGAGTTCATTGCCACAAGATTCCCACCACAAGAAATGCTCAAAAAGGCCTTCATGCTTGGAAAAAAAAAAAAGAGAGAAAGGGGATACAAAGCTTTGAGCAAGGAGAAAAATAGGTAGACAAAATCAGAAAAATTGCAGCTCTCTATCAGAATAGGTTAGCAAACAATTATGACATCAAAGATTAAGGGAAGGAAAACACCAAAAATAAATATAACCTCATCACTTTAAACACAAACTCACAACACAAGATGGAATAAATTGTGACAATAATAGCTTAGAAGGGGAAGAGGAAAGGGATGCAATCGACTTAGTCTAAGGAAATAAGAGGCCATCAGAAAATGGACTATCTCATCCATGAGATTTTTTATACAAACCTCATGGCAACCTCTAAACAAATAAACAGAACAGAGACACAATAAAATAAAGAGAAAGCTGAGAAAACCATCATACAGAACTACCAAACTGAACTGGTAGTCAGAAACACACAGGACGAGAAACAAAGCACATGTAAAAGAACTGGAACATGAGGGATAAAATAGCACCATTAAGCCCTCATATATCAATAATCACTCTAAGTGTAAATAGATTGAACTCTCCAATCAAAAGACACAGAGTGGTGGGATCGATTAAAAAACAAGATCCAACCATATGCTGCCTCCAGGAAACACATCTCGGCTCTAAAGACAAACACAGGCTCAGAGTGAAAGGATAGAAGACAATACTCCAAGCTAATGGCAAACAAAAGAAAGCAGGTGTCACCATACTTATATTAGACAAAGTAGATAGACTTCAAGAAAAAACAGGCAATGAGAGGCAAAGAGGGGCAATATATAATGATAAAAGGGACACTCCACCAAGAAGAAATATCATTTATATAAGCACCAACACAGGAGCACCAAAGTACATAAAGCAACTATTAACAAAGCTAAAAGGAGATATTAACAACAACACAATAATAGTAGGGGATCTTAACACCCCACTTAGATCAGTGGATAGATCATCCAGACAGAAAGTCAATAAGGAAATAGTGGAATTAAACGAAAAACTATAGAGAAGATGGATTTAATAGATATACATAGAGCATTCCATCCAAACACAGCAGATTACACATTCTTCTCAAGCATGCATTTGGAGCATTCTCAATGATAGACCAGATGTTGGGAAACAAGGAAAGCCTCTATAAACGTAAGAAGATTGAAATCATAAGAAGCATCTTTTCTGACCATAATGCTATGAAACTAGAAATGAACTACAAGAAGAAAACTGAGAAAGTGACAAAGATGTGGAAGCTAAACAACATGCTACTAAACAACCATGGATCATTGAAGAAATTAAAGGAGAAATCAGAAAATCGGGGGAGACAAATGAAAATGAAAATACACCATACCAACTCATATGGGATGCAGCTAAAGCAGACCTGAGAGGGAAACTCATAGCAATACAGGCCCACCCTAACAAACAAGAAAAATCCCAAATAACCAACCTTAAACTACACCTAACAGAATTAGAAAAAGAAGAACAAACAAAGCCCAAAGTTGGCAGGAGAGAAATAATAAAAATTAGAGCAGAAATAAATTAAATTGAAGCAAAAAACAGTAGAAATGATCAATTGAACTGAAGAGCTCGTTCTTTGAGAAGATAAACAAAATTGAAAAATCCTTAGCCAGACTCACTAAGAAAAAAAAGAGAGAAGGCTCAAATAAATAAAATTAGAAATGAAAGATGAGAAATTACAATGGACAGCACAGAAATACAAAGGATTATAAGAGAATATTATGAAAAACTATATGCCAACAAATTAGACAATCTAGAAGAAATGGATAAATTCTTAGACTCATGTAACCTCCCATACTGAATCAAGGAGAAATAGAGAATCTGAGTAGACCAATCACAAGTAAAGAGATTGAAACAGTAATCCAAGACCTCCCAAAAAATAAAAGTCCAGGACCAGATGGCTTCTCTGGAGAATTTTACCAAACATTCAAAGAAGATTTAATACCTATCTTTCTCAAACTATTCCAAAAAATAGAGGAAGATGGAACACTTCCTAGCACATTCTGTGAGGCCAACATCACCCTGATACCAAAGCCAGACAAGAACAACACAAAGAAGCAAAATTACAGGCCAATATCGCTGATGAACATAGATGCAAAAATCCTCAACAAAATGTTGGCAAACTGAATACAGCAATACATTAAAAAGATCATACACCATGATCAAGTGGGATTTATACCAAGGATGCAGGGATGGTTCAACATCTGCAAATCAATCAGTGTGATACACCGTATTAACAAAACGAGGAATAAAACCACATGATCATCTCAATAGATGCAGAGAAGACATTTGACAAGATACAACATCCATTTATCATAAAAACCCTCAATAAAATGGGTGCAGAAGGAAAGTGCCTCAACATAATAAAGGCCATACATGACAAACCCACAGCCAACATCATACTCAATGGGGAAAAACTGAAAACCATCCTTCTGAGAACAGGAACAAGACAAGAGTGCTCACTCTCGCCACTCCTATTCAACATAGTACTGGAGGTTCTGGCCAGAGCAATTAGGCAAGTAAGAGGAATAAAAGAAATCCAAATAGGCAACAAAGAAGTAAAACTTGTGCTGTTTGCAGATGACATGGTCTTATATATAGAAAACCCTAAAGAATCCATAGGAAAACTATTAGAAATAATCAACAACTACAGCAGCGTCACAGGGTACAAAATCAACTTATAAAAATCAGTTGCATTTCTATACTCTAATAACGAACAAACAGAAAGAGAACTCAAGAATACAATCCCATTTACAATCGCAACAAAAAGAATAAAATATCAGGGCCGGCCCCGTGGCTTAGCGGTTAGGTGTGTGCGCTACGCTGCTGGCGGCCCAGGTTCGGATCCCGGGTGCGCACCGACGCACCGCTTCTCCGGCCATGCTGAGGCCACGTCCCACATACAGCAACTAGTAGGATGTGCAGCTATGACATACAACTATCTACTGGGGCTTTGGGGGAAAAAAATAAATAAATAAAATTAAAAAAATAATAAAATATCTAGGAATAAGTTTAACCGAGGAGGTGAAAGAGCTATACAATGAAAACTATAAGATGTTAGTGAAAGAAATCGATGATGACATAAAGAAATGGAAAGATATCCCATGCACATGGATCAGAAAAATAAACATAGTTAAGATGTCCATACTACCTAAAACAATCTACAGATTCAATGCAATCCCAATCAGAATCCCAATGACATTCTTCACAGAAATAGTACACATAATACTAAAATTCATATGGGGCAAAAAAAGACCCTGAATAGCCAAAGCAATCCTGAGAAAAAAGAACAAAGCTGGAGGCATCACAATCCCTGACTTCAAAATATTCTACAAAGCTATAATAATTAAAACAGCATGATACTGGTACAAAAGCAGACACACAGATCAATGGAACAGAATTGAAAACCCAGAAATAAAACCATACATCTGCGGACAGCTAATCTTCAACAAAGGAGCTAAGAACATACAATGGAGAAAGGAAAGGCTCTTCAATAAATGGTGCTGGGAAAACTGGACAGCCACATGCAAAAGAATGAAAGTAGACCATCTTCTTTCGCCACACACAAAAATTAACTCAAAATGGATCAAAGACTTGAAGGTAAGACCTGAAACTATAAAACTCCTAGAAGAAAATATAGGCAGCACACTCTTTGACACTGGTCATAGAGGGATCTTTTCGAATTCCATGTCTACACGGACAAGGGAAACAAAAGAAAAAACAAATAAGTGAGACTTCATTAGACTAAAGAGCTTCTGCAAGGCAAGTGAAACCAGAATCAAAATGAAAAGACAACCCACCAGCTGGGAGAAAGTATTTGGAAAGCATATATCTGACAAGGGGTTAATCTCCACAATATATAAAGGACTCACACAACTGAACAACAAAAAAACAAACAACCTGATCAGAAAATGGGCAGAGGATATGAACAGAGTTTTTTCCAAGGAAGATATACAGATGGCCAATAGGCACATGAAAAGATGTTCAACATCATGATCATGAGGGAAATGCAAATCAAAACAACACTAAGATATCACCTTACACCCATTAGAATGTCTGTAATCACCAAGACAAAAAATAAATATTGGAAAGGAATTGTGGAGAAAAGGGAACCCTCATTCACTGCTGGTGGGAATGCAAACTGGTGCAACCTCTGTGGAAAACAGTATGGAGATTCCTCAAAAAAATTAAAAATAGAAATACCTTATGATCCAGCTATCTCACCACTGGGTATTTATCCAAAGAACCTGAAATCAACAATCCAAAGAGGCTTATGCACCCCTATGTTCATTGCAGCATTATTCACTATAGCCAAGAAGTGGAAGCAACCCAAGTGTCCATCAACAGATGATTGGATAAAGAAGATGTGGTATATATACACAATGGAATACTACTCAGTCATAAAAAAAGACAAAATCGTCCCATTTGCAACAACATGGATGGACCTGGAAAGTATTATGTTAAGTGAAATAAGCCAGACAGAGAAAAACAAACACCACATGATTTCACTCATACGTGGAAGATAAACTAACACACAGACAGAAAGAACAGTTTGGTGGTTACCAGGGGAAAGGGAGTTGGGGGTGGGCACAAGGGGTGAAGGGACACACTTATATGGTGACTGTCAAATAATAATGTACAACTGGAATCTCACAATGTTGTAAACTACTATGATATCAATAAAAAAATGGATACGAAAAGAAAAAGAAAAAAAAAAAACTTGTGGGGGGTTCCTGGCACAGAGGAAGTGAAAAAGAAGAGTTAAGGGGCCGGCCCCATGGCTTAGCGGTTAAGTGCGCGCGCTCTGCTACTGGCAGCCCGGGTTCGGATCCCAGGCACGCACTGACGCACCGCTTCTCCGGCCGTGCTGAGGCCACGTCCCACATACAGCAACTAGAAGGATGTGCAGCTATGACATACGACTATCTACTGGGACTTTGGGGGAAAAAAAGGAGGAGGATTGGCAATAGATGTTAGCTCAGAGCTGGTCTTCCTCAGCAAAAAGAGGAGGATTAGCATGGATGTTAGCTCAGGGCTGATCTTCCCCAAAAAAAAAAAAAAAAAAAGAAGAGTTAAGTCACCGAAGAGAGAGAAGGTTACTATCAGCATCCTTAAATGGATAGACAAAATCAGAGATTGTTTTTGTTTTTATTTCTTGTTCAACAAACATTTCAATTCTCCTATAATCCTCATGCTCTATTTTTCTACCCTCCCAGTTCACATCCTTGGAGTAGTGGCCAACTGAGATCCTTGTGTATTTAGGGCAAAGCCACTGGGTGAGGGAGGAGGTGCTGGGAAAACAAAGGCCTGAAACATGTGGGTGCTGATGGCCCACAGCTTCTCCAAATCTGATGTGTCTAGGGGTGAATGTATAATTTATTTCCAAATTTAGGAATTAAAGTAACCCCACCATCACCATCACACACAAGCAGAGAGAGAATGAATCTTCTATCAAACACGTGGAATTCTCTTCCAGACCCGTAATTAAATGGCAAGTCCCCATAGAGCAAGTGACTGCCTCAGGGCTTGTCTTGCTGAAACCATCTCATTCTCTATAGTCAGCCAGATCCTTGGAATCCCCAACTAGCCTGGCCATTGAATTCCACAACCCACGTGGGGTAGATGCAGCACAGGGCAGCATGGAGATCCAGCGCCTGGGGGGATGGGCTCGGCATCCAGTTGGCAGCTGGAGGTTTCTTTGCGACAACAAGAGACTCCTAGCAAAGGGAGCACAGAGGGGGATGGTGGAGTAGCAGGGTGTGACCGTGTCCCCAGGAAGTCCTGTGGGAGTATAGGATATGATCTCATCCTGAACAGTGAGATTTTCAGTGATTATACTTCAAAGTAAAGGTAAAGTCTGGAAGATAGGTACCAAAAATTGCACTGTGAATTCTAGAGGGAGAGCTGCGACAGATAAATGGGCTTTAGGGTAGTGATGGCATTTGAGATGGAGATTCCGGAGAGGATGTAAATTAATAAATGGGCTCAGAGCGTGGAAAAGGGCATTTTAGATTGATGTAGCAATAGGACACAGATCAAAGCATTTGGTTCACGTAAACACTGGAAGAAAAGTAGTTTATCTGATAAAAGTTATGACAGTATTTCCTGTGATGTAGTATCAGACAGCTGCTAAAAATCATGTCTGTGAATAGTTTTAATGATATGACGAATGTTCATGGCATAATAAGAGAAGAAAAACAAAATACCAACTACATATCTAGTGGGACATAACCATGGAGGATAGCTGGAAGGAAATTTTCTAAAATATTAAAGGTAGATAGTGGAATTGCTGGTCATTTTGTTCCTCTTTATTCTGTGTTTTCAATATTTTCTTAAATGAATGCATCTTACTCTTGCCAAAAAAAAATCTGTGCATGGTTTCTTTAAGGTAGAAGACAAAGCTACCACTTAGGTTAGGGCAGTGGAAAGGCGTTGAAGGTTTAGGCAGGGGGATACCCACTGAGCATGTGCGCAGATGCACTCCTGACAGCACTGTTGTGGAGAGGAAGCAGGAGTTGTTAAGAGCAATTAGATTCTGGTCCAAGTGGGAAATAATGAGGAGAATGCCAGTCCAGTGAGGACCACAACAGCGACAGTGTCTCCTTCTCTAGCCACTGTAACCCCAAAGCCCACCAAGGTTCCTGGTACCTAGCAGGCCCTTCATTGATGTTTGTTGAGTGAATGAATGATGGCATGGCAGTGATGGTTCTCAGGGCTACAATTCCCTTCCTGCTCCCCACTGCCTGGGGAACCCTAGCAATTCCTAATTCAGCAAATGGGAATGCAATAAACATCTCCCTTATCTTTACAGTTTGTAACGGAATAGGAATTGGTGAATTTAAAGACACACTTTCCATAAATGCTACCAATATTAAACACTTCAAAAATTGTACCTCAATCAGTGGAGATCTTCACATCCTGCCAGTAGCATTTAGGGGGTAAGTAACAGATAAAGTTACTGGTGTAGAGAAAAACAATATTTGCCTCGTTCACTGGTAGAGACTGGGAATCAATAATCATCCTTTACTTGTTTCAGTGACTCCTTCACACGGACCCCACCTCTGGATCCCAAAGAACTGGATATTCTAAAAACTGTGAAGGAGATAACAGGTGTGTGCTGCAACATTTCATATGAACATAAAGGGGAAATCAGGGTTTCATAGAGAGAACTTTTAGACATATTTCCTTCTCCCTCAGCATAAAAAGCTTTTTTCTGAAATTCTATCATTAATGACTAATAATTCCTTGATATTTTTCAAAAATGCAATTTCCCCTGCATGTGAGGGGTGAACACTTTAAGGAAAGAGTCGGGTCATTCATGACTTCGTGTGAACATGTTTAATCCCTCAGCTCCCCAGCCTAGGGCAATGTCCTGAGGGCCCAGCGACTTCTGTGGGTAGAGGGAGAAGGAGGGCAAATGGGGCGGGAACCGCACAGGCTCTCAAGTCTTGGAGACTAGACTTCGTGTCCCTGCTCGGTCACCAGCAGGCCTTGGGTCCACGTCTGCAATCAGAGCTCCACTTCCCTCATCCCTAAAAAGGGAATAATGAGACCTAAATAACAATATTGTTTTGAAGATTGAAATTAAATAGGGAAAATATGTAAATCTCCTTGTATGTAAGAACAGCTCAATACTGGGCCACTGTCATCGAGAGCAGGAGCCTGTTTGGGTCATCAGATATGTAGCCCAGCAAGGTTCTCAGGGCCACAGCAGCATGGGGACAGCCTGTTGGATGGGAGTTGGGCAGTGGGAGAGAGACAGCAAGGCAGAGGAATTCCAGGGGAGGGGCAGGATGCCCGCTGGAGCATTGTGCCTTGGCTTGCGTCTGCACGTGCGTGTGTAGACTCAGTGAAGGTGACAACATGAATCAAACCAAACGTTCACATTTCCTGCTCCTACTATAGTCTCTTGAGAATCCTATAATAATGTCTCATACAAGAAAGAAATTTCTAAGCGGTGTGTGTCTGAACCTTCCTACTGCCTTATAGGGTTTTTGCTGATTCAGGCCTGGCCAGAAAACAGGACTGACCTCCATGCTTTCGAGAACCTGGAAATCATACGTGGTAGAACCAAGCAGCAGTAAGTTGACCTCAGCCAGAGCCCAGTAGATCCTTTCTTACTTTTTTATTTTGAAATAAGACTTACAGAAGAGTTTGAAATTAAACTCACAGTATGTTGCAAAGACACTACAGAGAATTCCCTATATCCTTCACACAACTTCGCCTAATGTTAACATCTTACATGAGCCTAGTGTAAGTATCAAAATGAGGAAATTAACATCGGCACAGACTTGGTTATGACTTCACCCATTTTTCCATGAATGCCTTTGTTCTGTTTCAGTGTCCAGTCCAGTATCCCACATTGCATTCCGTTGTGTTATGTCTCCTTAGTCCCTTGCGATCTTATAGTTCCTATGTCTTTCCTTCTCTTCCGTGGCCTTGACGCTTTTGAAAAGTACTGGTCAGGCATTTTGTAGAATGGCTGATTTTTTCTCAAGAGTCAACTGGTGTTACGCATTTTCGGCAAGAAGAGCGCTGAGGTGACGTGTCCTTCTCAGCACATCGTATCGGGGGACCTGAGGGGCTTTTGGGCATTAAATGTTTCTTTTGGGATTTCCACTTGTCCAACTGCAACAGTGAAGTACACACACACACACACACACACACAAGCATCTTTAACATAATAAGTGTAATAATGAGTTTTATGGTGAGGAGGAATTTGGGAATCTCTTGGTCAAACATGACTTGGAAACAGTCTGGTTCCAAGAACTATTTCCCATAATTGACCCCTAAAAGGACTACATAGTATTGTGCAATGTTAAAGAAAATCAGGATATGGTACACATAAAATAAGCATTGCTTTCCAAAAACTGCCTTGGCTATGTGTCTCTGATGCTAAACACTTAGCGACCATCGCTTCCCAGAAAGGCCCCTCTGCTCTGAGCTCTCAGGAATACTTCCTTTGCCCGAGGTTCACACAGAGACAAGAGACTGGGATCAGTTTTCCTGGGTGATTGGTATATACTTCTTGGCTTAGTTTTAGGGATTTAAAGAAGATGAGGATTACTTTTTTGTTTTTGCCAAGAAGTCCAGTGAAACACAGTCCCTACGGGGGCAGGGTGACTGCTGGTCCCAAGGTGGTGGCTCACCAAGGCCAGGCCTGCCCTGCAGGGAAGACCCCAGCTGTGTCTCTGCCATCTTGGCTCCCCTGGGTGCGTGCTGGGGAGAATTCCTAACAGTGGTGCAGGCCTTCTACACAGGGTGCCTTGCTTTCCCCAGGGGCCAGACTGTGGGAAGAGAGAGGGAGAAAGGGTGGAGAGAGGGAGAGAAACAAGGAGAGAAGGAGTCTCCAAATTACACTTGGAACTTTTGTCATCTCACGCCTTAATTATCAGCCTCTTCATTCAGTACTGTCTCAACTGGCTCCTTCTCCGTCTTGGGGTCCAGTGAGCCTCCTAAAAATGCAGATATGTTTCCTGTGGTTTCCCATCATCTGCAAACAACGACTCAAGCTCCTCCACGTGCTGTCCAGGTCACCTGTGCTCTGGCCTCTTCCAGCCTCCCCAGACCCCTCTCCCAGGCCTCCCCGCCTCCACAGTTCTGCTCCAGCAGTAGCTCGTGGTTCTCAGCAGCTGTCCGGTGCTTTCTCACCTTCCCGCTCCTTCAGCTGGTTCAGGACTTCCCTCCCTTTAGTCTGAATAACTTTCATCCAGTCGCTTGATGAACACATACTGATCTCCTGGTGGGATTCTAGCACAGTGTTGCGTGGTGAAGAAAATATCATAGTTCCTGTTCCTGAGGTCCTCACAGTCAGGCATCACCTCTTCCAGGAAGCCACCCCTTCCTAGACATCCCTCCCCAGGCTTGTTTAGATGCCCCTGCTCTTTGCCTCTGTGATGCCCATTATCACCATACTAATGGTGCTGGGTTAAAATTATCTGCTCATATGATTATATCCTCACTAGACAAAGGGTTCCTTGAGAATAGGAAACATACACTTAACCTACAGAGAATTAGTCACATATTACCTCAAATGTTTGTTGAATATATGGATGAGTGGATGGATGGAAAGATGAACCTATGACTTTTGAAATGTATTTGGATGTTTGAGAGATTGGAACATGTTCTCAATTCCCAGGCAAAATAAAAATGCAGTAAATAAAATGATGACATTAAAACATTTATTCAGGGTCCAGCCTGGTGGCATAGTGGTTAAGTTCACACACTCCTCTTCAGGGGCCCGGAGTATGAAGGTTCAGATCCCAGGCACAGACCTACACATCGCTCGTCAAGCCATGCTATGGCAGTGTGTTCAATATATGGATGGGTGGATGGAGGAAGACTGACAACAGTTGTCAGCTCAGGGCCAATCTTCCTCACAAAACAAAACAAACAACAAAAAAAACACATTTATTCAGCCCGCAGTCTGCTACTGGGATTAAAGATACTAAATGAACAAGGAGCTAGCTTTTTCCTGGGGGAGCTTAAAAAACACTTGCCATTTTCAAAAGTTGTAGTACATACATTCCACAGTGTGACTTACGATCACTGGAAGGCAGTCTGCAGTAAATCTAAAGTGGTCCAGAAAAAAAAAAATAAAGTTTTTAGTGATATTATGTTATCATAATTTTTCAGAAGGTTGTTTTTCTTCTTTCCAAATTAGTGGTCAGTTTTCTCTTGCGGTCGTCGGCCTGGACATAATGTCCTTGGGATTACGCTCCCTCAAGGAGATAAGTGATGGGGATGTGATCATTTCCGGAAACCGAAACTTATGCTATGCAAATACAATAAACTGGAAAAAACTATTTGGGACCTCAAGTCAGAAAACCAAAATTATAAACAACAGAGGTGAAAAAGACTGCAGTAAGTAATCACTTTGGTTTGGTTGTGGAAATGGTTCCAATGGGTCACTTGTTTTGATTCAAAATATTGAAGGGACATTCCTACACATTTAAATTACTTTTTTCATTCCTAAAGAAGCAAATTAAAAGAAGTCTATATTTTCTTAATTGTGACGTTATTATGTGAAGTTCATCAGAATTGTTTCTAGATCATTCTCATTTCACAGGATGAATTTGCCTTGAGGTTTATGCTATCAATTATTTGTAGTTTATAAACTAAATTTAGTATTAATTATATGACATTTTAGCTGTAGGTTCCTCCCTGCTCATCTCCACCTCTAACGACTATAGTTGCGTGCACGCACGTGCGCACACACACACGAGTGGGATAAACATTCCACACTGGCATTTCCTATGCTGAGTTTAGAGCCACAGCGTGCTTCCAAAGCTGGGCGTGCACCATCTCCTTGTTCTGAGACCATGCCCCTGGTAGAAACAGATCTGAGTTCGAATCCTGCCTCTAGCCCTTCCTAGCTTTGATACCTTCGTCCATTTACTTAATATCTTTAAGCTTTGGCTTTCTCATCCATGAAGTGGAGCTGATGATGATTCCCATTGCTATTGAGAGAAGTAAATGAAATTCTGTACGTAAAGCTCTTGGCGCGGTGCCTGGCACATGGCAAGTGACCACAAGCTTTCCCTATTGTTACCATCAGCTATGACATTCATCAGCAAAATACCACCCAGGTCTAGTCCAGGTCCCCTTGGCCCCCAGTAGGGAAAAGGAAACTTGCAGTCAGCCGCTGGAAGCCCCTTCTGTGTCACTGATCCTTCGGGGCCCCCAGTGTGTCTGTGAAACTCAAGGTCACAGAGGACCCAGCACCTCACTTACAGGGCCTGTCTCAACTGGCCCTCTGCTCACTTTTCCGTAGCTGACTCCTTGCACTCACTCTGTCTTCTCAGAGGCCACTGGCCACATCTGTCATCCGTTATGCTCATCAGAGGGCTGCTGGGGCCCGGATCCCAGAGACTGCGTGTCCTGCCAGAACGTGAGCCGTGGCAAGGAGTGTGTGGAGAAGTGCAGCATTCTGGAGGGGTAGGAGGTTCTCTTTAATCCATTTGTTCTGATAAAAAAATAAGACAGGATTTTATAGCTTTTATAGGTTTATAGTTATTCAGTTTGATGCTTTTGTTTTTGTTTGTTGGCAACTGTTAATCACAATAGGAAATGAACAAAATTTTTTCATTGCTTAATCCAATCCAATAATTTATAGAATCTCTTTTTATGGAAATATCTTATATTTTTCTCACCTGCAAAGTTCCCAAGACAAATAGAACAGTCATCGGTGGTTCATATGGCCAAGACCATGGCCGTTTATTCTTTTCTTTGCAGTACACTCATCCTGCTGTGTCAAAATATATTAATACAAATTACATTTCCTGGTTAATTATTGTTATATGTTCAAGAAACACTGAACAGTGCTAATAACTTTAAAGATAACCATGAACAAAGAAATAATTGTATAACATTTGTTGAATTTATTTGCAATGAATAAAAAGTATATAGTTTGTTGATTTTATGAGAATCTTGATATTAATGTAAAGCTTTGAATGACCACAGATAATGACTAAAAATAAATTAATAGGAAATTAAAATTGAAAGGGAGAGGCAGAGTCAGTTTTTTAAAAAAATTGAAGAAAAAAGGGAAATTTTGTGGTAGGGAAGAGCCATAGGCATTACATATGGCTATAGAAAATCTTACTTCCTGTTCTGCTCTCAGGGCTTAGGCCACAGCTTGGATCCAGAAACATTCAGGAGCAGAATGGGGACCCAGTTCAGTTCTGCAGGAATCCTTTAGCTGGCAAGCTTATTAACCTAACAGAGTATTTTGCGTAATTGATGGTGCTGTTTCAACAAGTAGGAAATACTGTGCAATCCTGACTGCTACAAATTGACACTAATCTCATGTTTGCAGTTTTCACATCTCTTTAAAGAGACAAAGTAATTAAAATAACGACATCGGTGGTGCCCCATGCCTTTGCCATAGAGAACCCTGGTGTCTGGCAGCACCTGCTCCCTTTTCAAGACAGGTCCTTCAGCAACCATGGTAACCCAGAGAAGAAGCACAGGAAAAAAGAGTTCCAAGTGTTTGGTTTCATTGACGCCATCTGCCTGGAAGGGAGGACTTATGGAACATGTTTTTGGGTGTAAACATCCCTTGTTCACTGCCTGGAGCGAAGACTCGTGGTTAATCATCAGGCAGATTGCAGTCTTCTTAACAGCCGTCACAACTATTTTGTCTTTTCAACCAAACATCAGCTTCTTGCTTAGCATTGATGTACATCTTTGGAGAATGGTGAAAATACTACAAGCAAATTTTTTCACACCTGTGTTCCATATTTACTGATTTTAGTACTGTTTTTACCCCTTGAGCAAGTTTTAATATCTCTCCTTCTTTTTCCTGTGCATTAGTTTAGTTACCATTTCTTTCCAGTTTAATTTAAATATCCATGAATCTGATACGGGAGAGAGGGGGCGCCTCTTAAGGACTGTTTTCTTTTTTATCATTTGTTGGGTTGCTTCCCTAGTATACAAAAACTGTGCCTGTAGAAAAATGTAGGGAAGTTGCTTTGATTATAAATGAAGCTTACGTGTTTGTGCAGGGAGAAGATGACCAAGGATTCAGTTAATTCAGAATCACTTTATTCTATTTAGTCCTAGAGTCCCAATCGTTTGACTTGCACCTAAAATTGTTGTGAATTTCTGAGAGAGGTGATTCATGTCATCTGAGATTTCAGACACATCAACTCAGACAGTTGTAACCATGCAGCATTTTGAAGCAGGATCTCTTGGAACGGCACTGATCAGTTTCCTTTCTTCCTCCTCTCAGTGAGCCAAGGGAGTTTGTGGAGAATTCCGAGTGCATCCAGTGCCATCCGGAGTGCCTGCCCCAGGCCAAGAATGTGACCTGCACCGGCCGCGTAAGAGCACGTTTGGTGTTATTCCCTCACGCGCCACAGGGAAGAGCCCTGCAGAGCCTTGACAATGACCCAGTGTCCTCCTGGAGCTGCTGCGGACAGTCGTCCAAGCCCACTTCCCAGACAAGAGGCTCTGACCTCACAGCCGGGTCAGAGGGTCTGTGATGGAGTTGAAGGCGTCACACAGCCCACCTGGCAGGAGCATTCACCTTTTCTGTCCAACATCCCCTGACACGCTTAATGATGACCACTCTTTCACCACAAAACAGGGAGCCTCTGGGACTGGGGATATTGTCAGCCAGTTGTCACTATTTCTGACATCTGTCGTCATTGCTTTATCATTTTAATCAAATATTATCAAATTCTTGTTTAACATTAGTTTATAATTATCTGAAGAATTTTTAAAGAAACACCTACGGAAACTTTTCAAAATTCAGTTTCATATCTACATGTTCAGTAATCATCTTTTAAAGCATGTAAATAAGACAGATCCCTCTCACACCAGTGCCCTAATGTTGTTAATGCTCAATATTATTTACATACGGAGCTCTGTTTGGATTTGATCTTCAGCAACCATATCTAAATCTACTAATTGAAAACAGTTTTCAGAAGTTCTCTCTAAATAGGAAGGTGAGGAGACTTTGTTTTGAGGTATAGGCTGCCACATGGCTGGTTACAAAGTAAACCCCTGATGTATAAGTTTCCATGGCGTTGGGTTCCATTTTCATCATTGAAATACAATAACTGGTGACGCTGACTTCACCCTCTGGTTGTTCTGGCTCTGGGAACACTCAGTCTTGAGTGGACAAAACTCAGACGTCAGAGAACTTAGCCAACGGGAAAGTCCTTCCCTACCAGTCTCGTTTCAGCCCTTTGAGGAAGCGTGTGGGACACGACCCCGGCAGTCCCAAGGGTGACGCTCCTGGGGGTTTTGTGAGAGCGCTCCAAGTTTGACAAAGGGAAGCAGATTTTGCCTGTGACACAGTTAATTCTGCAGCTACCACTTCACTTGCCACTTGCCACCTTCTCATCACTGGAAAAATGTAGACGTGGGTTTTCTTAAATTTGCTTTGGCAAGTCTGGCTTCCCTCAGAGCTTCCCTTGAACCTCAAATATGATACGCAAGAAAGTCCACTTGACAATAAGGATATAAGTATACACGAAGGTCAATCAAGATCATTTTGACAAGGAATGATCCCACAATGTATTAAGTAAAATGAAATAAAGTATATAGTGTAGTTTCTTCTGTGTTTTTATATATCATATGCATTTAAAATCAGGAAGACTTTTCACTAAGCTATTAACAGTGGTCATATCAAGCAAGCAGAATCACTGACAAATTTGCTGTTTGTTACTTAAGAACTTCTATATTATTTGACTTTTTTCACAATAAGTATCTTACGTAAAAAGTTACTTCCATTTTGAAAAAGAAAGAGACATACATAAATGTATTTCCCCACCTTGGTGCAGGGACCAGATAACTGCGTGAAGTGTGCGCACTACATCGATGGCCCCCACTGCGTCAGGGCCTGCCCGGCTGGGATCATGGGGGAGAACAACACCCTGGTCTGGAAGTTTGCGGATGCCAATCACGTGTGTCAACTGTGCCATCCAAACTGTACCTACGGGTGAGTGGCAGCCCAGCCTAGACAAGAAAATGCAGAGCAACAAAGTGTTTCCTATCTTGCAAATTTGTAGATTGAAAATGTCTCCAAAGTTTCCAGGCAACAAATTACAGAGGTTTGTATTTGAGTCGTTTACTTCCGGTGTTTTGGCTCCATGGCTGTGGCAGCAGCAATGACATGCTTGTGGGCAGATCCTGGGGCCGTAGGAATGCCTCTCAGCCTCTCATGGTGTTGGTCATGCCAGGGCTCTGTTCTGCAGTACCAGCACGTCCCAACAAGAAAGAGTAAGTGACAGGTGGGGTGACAGCAATAGGACCTGCCAGGTCTCTGAGGTTTCTGCAAATCTTTCCAGATGACCGGGATTCATATGGGAATCTTTTATTGTTGTTTCGTGATTAAGATAACATTGCCTGAAATGTTGCTTAAAGACACTCTTTCTTTTAGCTAGTTGATTACTAAGCTGTTACTAAGTACATTAAAACTATTTTGATTGCAATTTACAGAAGCACTGAAAGTCTGTATCTTATTTACTGAAATGATAAATTTGGCAATCAAATGACTATTCCCAGCAATCAGAAAGAGAAGTTGAGTTGTCGTATAGAATATTCCCCTTTTCCTTGTGTCTTTCGTAATCCTCAACCTTACTTGGAGCCATTACTCTTTCTCCTCGGGATCCATCTCTCACTAGCTGTGTGGCCTTGGGCAAGTGTCTTAACTTCTCTGTACCTCCCTTTCCTCATCTATAAATTAGGATAATAATACTTTATGCATAGCTCATAGGATTTTTGTGAACTTGTATTAATATGTATCATGTACTGAAAATAATAGTGCTCTGGTAGTTCAGATTCAGAACTCTCACCACCATGGCCCCGGTTTGTTTCCCAGTCAGGGAACCACACCACCCATCTGTTGGTTGTCATAGTGTAGCAGCTTCATGCTGCTGGGATGCTGAAAGCTCTGCCGCCGGGATTTCACATACCAGCAGGGTCACCCAGGTTTCAGTGGGGCTTCCAGACTAAGACAGACTAGAAAGAGGACCTGGCCACCCACTTCTGAACAAAGTGGCCATGGAAACCCTGTGAACAGCAGCAGAGCACTGTCTGATACAGCGCCAGAAAGGGAGAGGATGGCGCAAAACGACCAGGCAGGTTCCGCTGTGCTGTCCACAGGGGCACTAGGAGTTGGAATCGACTCCACAGCACTGACAACAAAAACTTAAAATAGTGCCTGGAACACCTGGGCAGTGGTGGTGGTGATGCGGCTGGCCGTGAGGCAGCAAGGACAATGATGGTGGTGGTGACCGTGCTGGTGGCAGTGATGCTGCTGAAGGGAGGTGCTGTTGGTGCCAGTGCTGGTGGTAGTGGTGGTGGTGATGATGCCTGTGACAATGGTGTTGATTAGTGTTCTTTTTTTTTTTTTGCCAAGGAAGATTCACCCTGAGCTAACATCTGTTGCCAATCTTCCTCTTTTTTTTTTTTGCTGAGGAAGAGTCGCCCTGAGCTAGCATCTGTTGCCAATCCTCCTCTATTTTGTATGTGAGCTGCCACCAGAGCATGGCCACTGTGGCGTGGTATAGGTCCACACCTGGGAACCCAACCTGGGCTGCCAAAGCAGAGCGCGCCAAACTTAACCACTAGGCCACCGGGGCTGGCCCATGATTAGTGTTCTTAAAGGATGCAGAACCTTCCACTTAGACCTCCAAAATTCAAGAGTCTTGAAAAATTTTCCAAAAATGTCCTAAGTTTACCAAGAAGTATTTTAATTACATTTATATGGAAGAGCCTGGGCCTGGAGACAAGTGACCTGGACTCAGGAATGATTAGTATCATGGTCAGCTTTTGTCATTTCACCTTCCTGAGTCCCAGCCCCCATGGGGTAGAGAGAAGGGCTCCATCACTCTGTGACCCTGTGGTCCAGAAGTTTCAGTCCTAGGTGACTGAAAGGTAAATCCTCAGCTAACATATAAGAAACCTGGGCATTTCTTCTGTGGTTTGCAAATGATTGGCTTCGCCTGCTAATCTTAGTCTAATCCATTGGTTTGTTCCAAATGATCTAGCAATATTTTGCCAAGTCTACCGCCAAGAGAAACAAAAACAAAAGTTAACGCCAAAAAATTAATTTGAGTAGGGCTGACATTTTTACAATGTTTTGTATTCCCATTCCATATTAGAGAAATGATATATTTTTCCATATATTTAAGTCATCTTTTTTCACGTTTCAGTCAAGTTTTGCAGTTTCCTTCTCTCGTGTCCCGCCTAAGTATTTTGTATTTATTTTTGCTGTTGTGAAATGGATCTTGTTTTCTAGATATCTTCTAGTTTGTTGTTGCTAATATATAAGATACCTTTTGATTTTTTGGTGGCAGTAGGGGCATATTCGTCTTGCTTTGATTGGCGTTACTGAACTTCCTTTGAAATTAGTGTTTTAGTTTATGATCTTGAATTTTCCAGTAATACAGTCCTATCATCTCCAGTAATGGTATCTTCATCTCTTTTTAAAAAGTTTCAGATCATATTACAAGGGGCAGAATTTCCAGAATAACACCAGACACAGCGTAGTGGACATCGGAATTTTATATCTGATGGTGGTGGGAATGGCTGTAATGAATCACCATTAAGAACAATATTCGCTATTAGTTTAAGATACTTATTATCTTGTTAAGGAAATTGTCATCTATTCCTACTTTTAAATTATTTTTTTAAATCCAGAATGGGCTTTGAATTTTACCAAATACCTCCTTGGTAGCAATTTAAGATTTTTCATATATTTCCCTTCGGGTATATCAGCATGCTGGCCATATTGACCAATGACAAACTCTATAAAGCATGGTATAAACTACACTTTGCTAGTTTTTCACTTAATCTTTTTTTTCATATTCCCAAAAAATAAGCAATTTGGACTCGATTCTCTATAAAACAGAATTATATTAGCTGTATAAAACAAATGTTGCATCTTACCTCCTTTTTATATCTTTTAGAAATAGATGCATATATATATTTGTGTGTCTGTGAGTGTGTCATTGGGCTTGCGGGGTGGGGGTGGGGGGCGTCCAGAAAGTCTTTGGGCAGTTGGAATTTTCCATAAATTTAAACTGTATAAGATACAGTTTGCCAAATATAGAAAGAGGGAATTTACTCAAGATTTAAATAAAAAATGTTAATGGTCATTTTTTTTTGTGTATTTTCTTCTACAATTTCTTTCTCTTTCTCCCTTTGTTTCAAATAAAATCCTGATGCTATGCCTTTGACATACAGTTTCATCAATATTTTATCTTTCATATATTTGATTACTTTCCTTATTCTGAGCCTTTTTGTTGATAGAAGAACATATAGTTTTATATAATATTGTTATTACTATTTGTATCTTCTCCCAAAGTCATTAATTACATAGGAATTACATGATATAAATGGATTTAAGTTTTAAAATATAGAGAAATGTTGATGGCAATATAAGGGAAAATAAGAAAACATTTCTTTTATTGTGTATTTGTGATGTGAACATTATCACATACCTTGCCTCAGTTTGGTGTATGGATTTTTCCATTTGTATTGTTGAAGGAAGCCTTAAAAAGTTTCAGTCATCACCACAACTCATTAGCCAGTAGTGACAGAGCCCAGAGTATGCCATGGGAGCTGCCTGCTTCCCAAGGCCTGCCCACCGTGGCAGCTCTGGTGACCCAAGAGAATGGTAAGGAAACTGGAAGCAAATCCATTTTTAAATGGAACCACATTTTCATAGTAAGTCGTGAGGATTTCTTTGAAATTTTTATCCTGATAAATTAAACAATATGAAATTTTGCCCACTTTAATTACATGTAACAAAAAAGCATAAGTTAAGTGGGGAATAGAGAATAATTTTCTGACAAAATTAAATGATAGCATGATACAGCCTCTTTTACTTGACATACAACAGTCATCTCTGCAGAATTATCAAGGGCGCCATAAGCTGTCCCAAGGACCTTGTAATCTCTTGATACTCAAATCCTTCTTTCTTACAGCACCCGTCCTGTCACTGTCCTTGTCAGTCATCTCTTCAAGCGTACACTGGCCCGTCTTTCCCTCTGAGCTTCTCACTTGTCAACAGCTTCTTGTTCGCAATCCCTGCAGCACTGTCAGAGGCTGCATAAAATCCTGGATCTTGTCCAAAATTCACAATTTCATTTTGCACCCACTTTGCATAGTGTTCCCATTCTGTTACAGTGTGGACACTGATAGGCATTGTGGGAAAAAACACTAGTGAGGGGAGATATTGTGAGTAGGGTCAGATTTTATCAGTGGTCATCCATTAGTGAATGTTTTTTGTCTTTTATGATTTTGGTTTTCCTAGGGGATAATAGACTATCAAATAACAGACTTCCTTGCATATTCCACTGCCTGAAGAAGCCTGCGTGTCCAGTGTAGGCATGAAGGCCCAAAATGCATTGCAGGGGCAAGACTGCACTGTTTGACACCACGGAAAAGAGGGAGGGCTTAGACCCTTAAAACCAGGAAGAGTGGAGTGTAGAGATCAGAGCCCTTCGAAAGAGAGAGAAAGTGTTCAGGACCAGATGACAGTGTCAAACACACATCCCTAGTCCTCTTCATATGTTAGAAATGTAGTTCTTCTTTCCCCGGGCCATGCTATGTCAGTCTTAGCCATTTAATTGGAATATTTTGTTTTCCTATTGACTTTTGTATTGGCAAATGTTGCCGTACTTCAAAGCCAACTTACCCTGCCTTTATAACCATCATTCTGTAATCATCTAATGGTGGTCTCCCCCCACTGGGAACCCAGCTGTTCAAGGTCACATTAAGACAAATTCTGTCTCTGCTTCATGTAAGACATTTCACTTGGGTGGAAGTGGATCAAGCCGGCTCCTGCTCCTGGCTTCCTGGGTCTGAAATCATCATCGCCACTTCTCTGCCACTGAGATTCATGTCTTGACTCATCTGTTCCTCTCCCCCTGCCCCTTGATCAACATGGCCCAAGAAATGGTTCTAGTCTCAACTTCCTCTCCTCCCCTGCCTGTGTTGACATTCAAGCCAGCTGTGAGATAGCTATACTATGTCAAAAAGAACACATGAAAACATTTCAGTTATGAAGACCAGAAACTGTCTACTTTGTTCAATGCTAGAACAATCCCTGTCACAGGGTAGACACTCAAAAATATGTGCTGAGTGAATGAACAAATGAATAAATGCATAATAAACAAATGATTAACCACCACCCCAAAATTGAGACACATTGGGATTTTAATGATTTGAGAGTAATTTAACACACATTGCCTTATGATTTAATAAAAACTCTCCAAGAAAAAATGCTAAAGAAGTAGAATGATCAACATGTGTATTTCTCTTTCAACTCCTACAGCTGTGTAGGGCCAGGTCTTGAAGGCTGTGCAACGAATGGGTAAGTGTGACAGCTTTGTTTCTAACGGGCCCTGTCTGAAATGACCCAGTGTGCTCTGGGCAAAGAGAATGCTTCCCGCTGTTCTGGCTGCGTCCACCTCGTCAGCTCTCACTTCTCCTCTGGGCCAGCAGAGGCCTCCCTGGCAGAGACCACTCCCCCACCCACTGCCCGCCTTGTGAACTGTTCTTCAGTGGAGGGACGCAGGACATGGGTGCGGGGTCCTGCCCCGCGTGGGGGTGCTGACTGTGCAGTACGGCTCTTTCTGTGGAGCCCACTTCTGCCCCCTTGGTCATACCCGTTCTGTTGGCTCCTTCTCTTCCAGCCTCTCATCTTTGTCCCTCACTGACCCCATTGGTCCCATCCCAATCCTGTGTTTGAATGACCTTTCTGTTTGATGACAAAACTCCAGCCTGGGAGGATTTTCTCCCCTTACTTCCTTTTCTAAACGTGACTTCCTGCAGCATTTCGGTTCTGCTCCGTTTGCCCTCGCTGCTGGAGGTGCTGCAGTGAGGGAAGCCGCGCCGGGGGTCCTGGTGCAGACCCCCAGGAAAGAGCCGTTGTCAGTTAATCATGTCCCGTGAGGAAGCAGAGCTACACACGGCACCTGCTGGCTGTCCCTGATGTCCCACCACCAGCCAAACTTCCAGGCCCTCTGCCATTTCTACAAAACTCCATCCCTCAACACCCCTGCCTCAACATCAGCTACGCCTCTGCCCAGGAATTAGCCATGATAACACATCCCTCCTACCATCAAGTGAGACACTAAAGACAAATAAGGCAGTTTCTCAGAAATAAAGATTTCCTGTCCCCACCTCTTCACTGAGCCTACAAGGAGCCTGGCACAATTTTTCCTATTTTTCATGCTACGAGTCAATGTCTCAGTAATGATGTTTTCTGTCACATCCCCACCTTGAAACCAGTCAACGACCACTCCTTGTTCTATTTACTCTTGTAGATTTTGTTTCTTCTCTTGTCATTCATCTGCGGCTCCCCATGGAACACATACTCTGTAACAAATTATTCTTTATATCTTCCCATGTTCCCTTCAAATAGTAAAAATCCATTAATTCAAACTCGTTAATTGGGGGATGATGTAAAGCAGGAGGTGACTTTTATACTCGCTAAGAAGAAAGTGTTGTAAATATTGTTTTCATGAAGTACGTTTGACCTACTTATGAGAAATTTGTAAAGATGCTGGCACATTTTTTGGGTGCAAGTGATGCTTCTAATTGAGATTTGATATTCGTTAACGTTTTTACCTGAAAATATGCGGAAGCTTAAATGGAGTAGATACTTGAAAATAATAACTTTATAAAGGTTATAAATTCAGAATCTGCCACTTCAGATGGTTCTTCCCCAGTGAGCTTCAGAACCTGTGTTTTACATTTTTGCCCTCACTAAAATCAGACTCCACCTCGTGGGAGGAGGGTGTGTTAGAGTGGTTGAGGCTGCGTGACGACACCGCTCATCTGTGACAAGGATGCTTTCTGTGTCAACAGCCTGTCACTTTATAACCTACTTCAAGCTCATTCATAAAACATCTCACATGGCTGTGGTCCCATCTTGAAAGCCAAGGACTCCTTTAGGGGTCCTCTATGTTATTGAAAGGGTCCCTTCACCCTGCCTGGTCAGTAGACACCACATATCTGCTGCATGTGGAGTGCCAGGCTTCAAACAGATGGAGATACTCTGGGGATACATACAAATTCATATAAAAAGCATTATTGAAGTCTGAGTTACTTTTTGAATGATGTGTTTTCATCATCAATCTTTAATCAAGATTAAAATATAACCATCATATGGAGAGGTCCAGATGATACCTCCATTTAAAAAATGCACAAGAGCGGAGCAGAGGCGGTGGGCGGGAAGAAGTTAGAAACTACCCCAGAACTCTTAGCTTTTTTTTCTCCTTTTCAAAGCTGCTCAGCATTCCACTTGGTGAGATAGTTTTAAATGATGTCAATGTATCAAGACATGCCAGAAATATGTAAAATGCCAGTGTCATAAAAGCTGTCAGCAAACCTTACCTTCCCATGTGTCTCCACCTCTTTCCAGGCCCAAGATCCCATCCATCGCCACTGGGATTGTGGGCGGCCTCCTCTTGGTGGTGGTGGTAGCCCTTGGGATTGGCCTCTTTCTGCGCAGGCGGCACATCGTCCGGAAGCGCACTCTGCGCAGACTCCTGCAGGAAAGAGAGGTGAGTGCCTGCCACGCCAGCGCCCCTGGAGAAGCGACGCTGCCCCAGGTAGGACCAAGGGCTGTGCAGACGTGCCATTTGAAATTCTGTGTTTTAAATATGTAATTGTGTTATTATGCTTTATTTCTTGGGATGGAAAAACCAGAATCTCTGAATATCCAATTATAAGCAATTCGTTACATTTGGGTACCTCTATCCAGTGAAATGCAAATGTGTCTAGGGTAAGTCACACAACATGGTTGCAAAGCCACGCAGAGTCCTGTTTACAGTACAGCACCGGTGCACTTGCCCAGGAGAAGAGCTTGTGGATAGGTGTGTGTTGAGTTCCTGTGAAGGCACTGTGGTTGAGGAGATGCCACTTTGGAAAATGCCATCGTCCACATGAGTGCTGTTCCCTTTTGAGCTCTGTGTGTGACTGTTATCCCTGACACTTACCAAGTGTCCAGCAGTGTGCCTGAAGCCAGAGTCGCTGGGAAGAGAGACCCACAGCAGCTCGTAGCATAGTGACACCTGTATGTTAGGGGGCCGGACAGGCTACCAAAATGACCACTGTGTAAAAATTTTGCTCACCAAAATTTTCTCAGTTCCAGCTAATTAGCCTGGAAACAGAAACTGCCTTTGTTAAAGTGGAGCCATTCTGTTCAAGGACACTGGTATCAGGAAGTCCCTGTTCCTACCATGTCTGTTTTGCAGTTCTTTAGAGAGGGCATCCATTTCTCCTTTTGAGTTCTTTGTGCTAAAGCACAACCACGCAGTGCTGTGTCTGGACCTGCCTGACACCCTCCTCCCCCGTGGGTGTTGAGTGTTGGGACTGAGCAGCGTCTGCTCCTCTTCCTTGTCTCTCACAGCTCGTTGAGCCTCTTACGCCCAGTGGGGAAGCTCCCAACCAAGCTCTCTTGAGGATCTTAAAGGAAACAGAATTCAAAAAGATCAAGGTGCTGGGTTCTGGAGCATTCGGCACAGTGTACAAGGTGAGGCTGCTGGAGACACCACACCAAGGCTTCTGGGGCCTTGGGTTGGCAGGCCCCTCACATTCTAGGTGGGTGAATCCAGAGTCCTTGGCTGTGGTCTGCTTATCATCATGGTCTGTTCTTTGTGTCACTGAGAGTTTGGGAAATTCCAACGCTTTTCTTAAGTTATTGAGAGGAAATCTTTTATAATCATGATGGCAAATAAGTGGTCCTGTGAGACCTGTACACAGGCAAAAACATTTTTATGGATGACACATTGACCTTTTAGAAGGGTGGGTGGCACAGATGGAGTCTGAAGGAGGGTTGCCTATCACTGAGTGACAGCATCCAAATAAAGCCCAGGTCAAAACAGCTTCCTCTTAATTTGTTTTTCTAGATTCTCTTTGCATTAAGTCTGATTTCAGTTGAGTCTAGACCTGGCATCTTAGAATTCTGAATGAAATGATCCACACTGGTTTTATAACTAGCATGAGTTTAGGGTTTTTTTAATCTAAGTGACTAATTCATGGCACATGATAGCTAAAGAGCTGCTGAGATGCCATCACTCCTACTCCCAGTGGCCTTGCAGTGCAGAGCTGTGCTCGATGTCCCTTACCCTTTGAGATGGTGTCACTAATAAAAGTCCAGCCAGCTCACAAGTTGCATATTGCATGGTATGATGATTGCCAGTTAATGTCTTCCCTCTGTCTTTGTCGTAGGGACTCTGGATCCCAGAAGGTGAGAAGGTTAAAATTCCTGTGGCTATCAAGGAATTAAGAGAAGCCACGTCTCCAAAAGCCAACAAGGAAATTCTTGATGTGAGTGTCTGCTTTGTTTTCCAGTTGTCCAGAGGCCTAGATGTCAGAAGCCACCTTTTCTGGTGTCTGGCAGCATGTTGCTCTGTTTTAGACTTTTTTCATCACCACATTCTAAATGTTCAATTTTTATATCTTTTTTCCTTCTAGCTATAGTTGGCATAATTCCCTCTCAGGCCTTCTCTTATAGAGAAGACTCAGCTCATCTATCGTATAATCTGCCCCAAAGGATAGAAACTTAGAGTTGCTGGGCATTTACCGGAGGCCAGTCTCAGTACCAGTTGCTTTACACACATTATCACATGAATGCTTCTGATGAACCTGTGGTGTAGGTGTTATGCTCAATATTTTTTGGATGAAGAAATGGAGGCATAAAGAAACTTGCTGAGGTTCACACGGCTGGGGTAGGATTCCAGACCTAGTTACTTCTGACTCTGAAACTCACGTTCATTTGGCGGTTATCTTATCTTTGAAATGGCTTTTTAAAGGTCCCTAGGATTAACAATATGATGCCCACTCTATAAACGGTTGCCCACTTGCTGTACTTTCTCTCAAAATAATTTAAATGTTATTCTCCAGTGTCTGCTGATTGTTTTTATGGAGTAAGTCTTTAGAATGTTCCACAAGATGATTGTTATGTTTTTAGTTTCCATTCTATTGAACTTTCTCCACCTCCTCTGGACCCTCATTAGCCAGTGTGGGGGCTGCCCACTCTTAGAAAGAGGCTGAGCCATCCTGGAATTTGGCAGAGCCCACTTCAAGGAGATGCTGAGGGAGATGCAGTGTGCAGACCCTCCAGGGTCTTGTGTTAAAAACGTTGGCCACTGCTTGCCGTCGGTTCATGAAAATTCTTGCCCCTGTCGCAAGGCAGACCCAGTGAAAGGAGAGGTAAAGGGCTCAGCAGTGGGTAAGGGAAACAAAGTCAAAGAAAAAGGAAAATGACAGCCTTTATTGCCTCAAAAATCTAGAGAAATTAGCCAAGAAGGACAAAAGTCAGATGTAATATTCTCCATTCTTGTATCTAACCCACAGGATATATAGTAAGCAAAACAAACATGAGCCTTTTCTTTTTTTTTTTTTTTTTTTTTTTTTAAAGATTTTATTTATTTTATTTTTCCCCCCAAAGCCCCAGTGGATAGTTGTGTGTCGTAGCTGCACATCCTTCTAGTTGCTGCATGTGGGACTCGGCCTCAGGATGAACGGAGAAGTGGTGCCTCGATGCGCACCCGGGATCCGAACCCGGGCCACCAGCATTGCAGCGCGCGCACTTAACCACCAAGCCACAGGGCCGGCCCGAGCCTTTTCTAAAATGTGTTTAGACACAATGAACTTCCCAGTGGCAAAACAGTCTCCACTTCACTTTCCTCCAGGCAGCCTTCCCTTCTTTTCTGATAGTGAGGAAATTCCTGCTCTGGTTCACTTTTCTTTTTTTTTTTTTTAATAATTTTTATTTATTTATTTTTTTCCCCCAAAGCCCCAGTAGATAGTTGTATGTCATAGCTGCACATCCCTCCAGCTGCTGCATGTGGGACGTGGCCTCAGCATGGCCGGAGAAGCGGCGCGTCGGCGTGCGCCCGGGATCCAAACCCGGGCCGCCAGCAGCGGAGCGCGCGCACTTAACCACTAAGCCACCGGGCCAGCCCTGGTTCACTTCTCAATGAAAGATGATGTGTTAATACAGCGCAATAGAAAATCTCACATATCGATGATGTACTTATCAAGCAAAATTATCTTTCATTTTAATGGCTTACAAATTAGTGTGAAGTTCTACTAACACAATGTCAACTCCTGTTAACATAACCACAGGAAATGTAGTGGACGAGCCATTTGTGAAATCTCTTCACTTAGAACCTCTGGCTCCCTCACCTGTACTGTTAACAAGAAAATCTTTTTGCAGAACTTACTTCCTTAATTCATTTTTTACTCATTTAAGAAATTCTAATAAATTTCACAAAATGTTGTTGAAATGTGCATTCTGAAATGCAGAATAAGGGTGATTTTGAAGACATTAGCTATGCTTTGGGGAAGGAAGTAGTTTTCACTGAACAGGGCTCCCCAGCACTTCTAAAATTGGGGGAAATGGGCTTTTGTAGGGCAGAGGAGGGGTGGAAGACAGAGAAAGTAAAGACTTACAAGTTTAAAAAGTTAAAAAGTTCCTTTTTAGCCTCTTGCTCTGCCTCTCTCCTGCTCTCCCTCCATTGTTTTTATTTCCTGTCCTCCCCCACCTCCGTTTCTTCTTTCTGGTCATCTCTGTCTGCTCCTCTCATATCAGATGTTGTGACTTAGTGGACACCATGCCTGAGACTGGCGTCCTCATGTGCTCTTCCCACGGCTCCATCTGCCCGGCGCTCACAGGGACCCGGCGGTGCAGAGTGTGGGGCAGGGATGGAGAGCACCCTGAAGGAAAGGGGAGGCTGAGGCAGGCTGTTTCTGCTAAAGGAAGCAAAGGCCAGCGGTTCTAAGGCCAGTTTCCACAGTGAGCTGAAGAGCAAGTTAACCTTGTGGTAGGACAGCCCGGGGGGCTGGTGTGCTCTTCGAAATGCTCACAGGCACGTGTCAGGGGTCCCCTCAGACTCTCCTTCCCCGACGAGGGCAGACACTGAGACCCAACACGCACACACTGTAGCCCCTGGTTTAAGTTGCTACCAGTAGATTAGTTAACTGGTAAAGTGCCAAAAATGTAGGGCCATCTTCTTTTCATTCTTAAGATCAGGCATATGCCTCTGCTGAAGGAGTTTAAAATCTAATGGAATCCTTTTCCCCAATTCTTATAATAGTTCACAGATGAGGAAGACAAGCAAGAAGGAAGGCACCAAGTTATTTGGGCAATGGGGACAAAATAATAAACTTTCAAGGTCACCAAGCCTCAGAGACACCCCTGCCACGTGACTCAGGCATGAGCCTTTGTGGTCTCTGAGCGTCGGCTCCTCCTACCAGCCTGCAGGCCTGGCTGGGCAGCTAATTCAGAGATTGTTGTGGAATACCAAGCATGCTTGCTGTAGGTCACAGTGCACCTTTGAGATTCCAAGATAAACAGCAAAGAACAAAGCTCACTTTAACTTCTGTGCACACTGAACAGGACACACGACCAAACAGTGTCCCCATTGTGCCTAGGGGGTGGGGCGGAAGTGATGACCTGGTTCTGTTGCTCTATCAAGTTTTAATAGGATCAGGACTTGGCAGGGCTCCAGGCTCTGTGTGGCCCAACACCCACACCCAGTGCTCTGTTCCCTGACTCCTGGGTCCAGGTCAGCTCCTCGCCGGCCCCACAACAGATGGGAGCTTAAACTACTCCAGTTTGCAGATTTTTCTCCCCTCTAAAATGAATACAATATGTTTCCAAATCTCAACCAGATCTTGAGAAAATAAGAACGGCCAGAGGATTTCTTTGGTATTATGGCTGTACAGTTTCCCAGGCTTGGGGGACAGATGTGATTTGTGCTTTTCTGGCAATCGCATGGCCTATTAATTTTTCCATAGACTTTCCAGTTTAAATTTAGGGCAGGCAATGGAAAGAGAATGCAAAACAGATTTATATATGTGCTGTGTGTGTCATAGTGTCCAGAGTTTCCTGGTAGAACTTTATCCAGAGACTCTACAAGGCAGCACGGGAGGCCACCAGGCGACATGGCATGTGGGGCAAGCAGCGGGTCAGGGAGGGTCCGGCTCAGGGGGAGGACACCCCATGTAGGCCCAGGGCTGAGACTCAGAACGTGGTCTCAGGTGGGCCATTCGCCTCCCTGGGCCTCAATTTCCTGTTCAGACTTCAGATAACGGCCCCAGGAGAAACGCACTTGCGGGCCTTTCCAGTTCTAACTGTTTATAAACAGCCCTTCTCGAAGATGGAGGGAAGTTCTAATGTCCATAAGTATTAAATATCTACTCTTTACTGTTGGGATATTAAGTTCTCAATATAAAAGAAAAAAAATACAGCCTCTACTTGAAAGCAGAGCACCTACTGCTCACAAAAGCATCCCAGCGTCGGCAACAAATATTAAAGGCAATAAGGATTTCTTTTGTTAATGGAATTGGCATGGTCTCTGATTTGCTTTGAATTTCTGGCTTTGCATGGTTTCCGTGTGGTTCAACCCAGATGTTGTTGAGGCAGTTATGTGCCTAGATGTGTGGTGGGCGCCACTGGATAACAAAAGAAGAAGAGGTCCAGCCCTCCCGCCCAAGTGCTTACCACATTCGCATGGACATCTGTGGGGGAAACTGAAGCAACAGATACGTAGTAGTTGCCCACAGGGTTCGGTGGGAAAGAGCACTGGGTGTGTTCTGGGAGCTAGAGTGCAGACCTCTCCTCAGAGAGCATGGCGGGCAAGGACATTTTTTTTAATCACACAAATATTTAAGTGCAGATTATGAGGAGTGCTCCAAAGCACTCAGAATCCCCGGAGGTCTGTTCAAACAGATCAGATCCTGGGCCCTACCTCCCTGTCTCTCACACAGGGCCTGGGTGGGGCCCAGGAATTTGCATCTCTAGCAAGTTCCCCAGCCATGTAGAGCCTGCTCCCCCAAGGAGAAACTGCAGGGTGCCAGGAAAGTTTCACTCAGGTTGGGGGATCGGAGAGGCCCCTCTGAGAAGGAGTCAGCCAGGGAAAGGGGAGGTGGAAGGGCATTCCCGACAAAGGGCCTCATGGGCCAGGGCCTGAGGAAGGATTGAGAGAGCAGAGAGCAGGAGGAGGAGGGGGCTACACGAGGAAGGGCTGGACGGGCAGGGCCTGGAGCCTCCCGGGGGAACAGCAAGGGCCAGGGGAAGGTAAAGGCCAGAAGCTGGGGTGGTCTTTTTGTGTTTAGGAATATGTATGCAAGCTGCCTCTGCCCCACCACCCGTCTCTTGCTTCACCTCTGGCTGCCGGTGCTCTCTGCTCTGGAGCATCCCAGAGCACCCCCTCCTGGTGCCTTCACCTGGCCCAGCTGCGCTCGCTTCTGCAAGGAGAGCCCAGCTCACCCACGCTCATGCTCCAACCACTGGAGTGGCCGAGATGTGGAAAGGAGCCTCTGAACTTTCTCTTGCAGGCCATGTGGTCGCTTTCATACCCAAATAAAAGATCCCCACCTCTGTATTTCAAAGGTAGGGGGATAATTTATGGGTGAAATTGAGGATTCCTTAATTCTTAGTCGGACTTGAGGGTTATGTGCATGGTTGTAAATAAAATCAGCTTCCTCTGCCCGAGAAGAGCAGAAGGGTTAAAATAAAGTCCACAATCATGGATCTGTGTCAAACAAAGACTCCTGCCTTCGCCAAATTGGTTGGGGGGGATGGTGCGTTTTGCAGAGCAGTGTGGTTTTCCCATTCCGCAACTGAGGCAGGGGGCAACACAGACCACCTCTCTTTAGAAATGAGGCCTGGGCAGCCAACCAAGTCTGCAGTCACTGTAGATTTAACGCCCTCTGTCCGTTTCAAAGCCTGAAATGGGTACAGTGGCAGGGCTTCTCCAGCTCCACTTCACAGAGGTGGCCCCAGGAGCATAGCAGCGTTGCAGGTGGGCGCCCTCCCCATTGCCCACAGCACATTCAGGAACAAACACTGCTCTGTTGAGAAGTGCGGTGCTCTCCATGGCTGCCAGCTGGCACGCGACCTCCTCTGAGAGCTCTCACCACCACACCTCTGCAGTACCTCGAAAGAGGGGTCCGGATTCAGTGGGCAAGTCATTATCCCAGGTGTAGGGACCAAACGTGGATTTCTACACTCCCTGACAACGTTTTCAACTGCAGCATCTTCAGTCTGGAGGTGGAGGTGTTCCTAACGAGGACGTCAGCAACACCCGAACGTGGAGACATCGGGTCTTGTTTTCATGCAGCGTTTTGCCAATGGCGAATGTTGCTTGGGTGTCTCTGTGAAGAGGAATCCCTACATGCACCCAGGAGGGCGCCGTCTTCCACAAAATGCCTGGTCATTTCACAGCCTCCTCTGTCACAGGCCCGGCGTGAATGTCCACTGCACTAGATGTTTCCTGGGCTAGCTTGTCCTCCACAAGTACACATTTGGAAACTCAAAATCACGTTCATGCTTTTTTACCTGGAAAGGGGTCTGTGTGTCTCGCCCTTTTCCACCATGGGGAGCCTTTCTGATGCCATCCTCTCCTCTTCTCCATGCAGGAAGCCTACGTGATGGCCAGTGTGGACAATCCTCACGTGTGCCGCCTCCTGGGCATCTGCCTGACCTCCACGGTCCAGCTCATCACACAGCTCATGCCGTTTGGCTGCCTCCTGGACTATGTCCGCGAGCACAAGGACAACATTGGCTCCCAGTACCTGCTCAACTGGTGTGTGCAGATTGCAAAGGTAAAGGGAGAGCACGGCCCGGAGAGCGCACACGGAGCAGGCAGCCGGCTCTGGAAGTGGGCGGAGGCTCCCACTCAGCGGGACGTGTAGCTGCCTGAGCTTGCTGCTCATGCCAACGTCTCCTGGGATGCTGTGATCGTTAGTGAGAGTCCCAAGAGCCCCAAAGGGAGGCGGCAAGGGGAAAAATAAAGGCAACTGGAAAATCAACCATTAGGGTCTCCATCCCGAGATAGCTAAGAGTTTGCCAAGAGGGTATGTGTACATGTGTACGCACGCATACACACAATGTACACTTTATTTTGGGTGAAATTGAATTGATGGTCTTTTGCATCAAATCAGTGCCTGTCCCACTGCACGTTGAAAATCTAATCATTGGCTACATTTGAACAATTTTCTCTTTATGGGGTGCTTAGTATGGTTTGATGTTAGTGTTCTTATTTCTCTGGCATCCTTTTTGTTGACTACTATGGTAATTTTTGGTTGAGGAGGAGATGTGGTTTTCACCCAGTCAGCACTTGATAACAAGGCAAGCCAGGCAGGCTGAGGCTCAGCGGAGGACACAGGGGACAGTGTGGTTGTGTGGATGGCGGGGGCGGGGGCGTGCTGGTCCCAGCCTGGTATACAGGTTGAAGGGGGACTGACAGAGGTGAACAAATGCTTCTGCTGCTTCGCTGGGGTCCTCACGTGTCCCCCTGTGCACTGGCTTGATCCAGTGTGAGGGAGAGGCTGACAGGGCAGACAGTGGCCAGGTGGCCCCACCCGTGTGCTAGGACAGGAATGGAGCAGTGAGCCAGGTATTTAGCAATTATGAACAGTATGGCCTCAGAAGGACTTTTACTTTCATCTCAAGCTTCTCCCTCTTGATCCCACCACTGCATCAGTTATTTGCAACCCGGTTTGCTAAATTCTGTTTTGTTCTGAGAGTGGGTGTACATTTTACTCAGTTGAATTGAAGGAATTTGTGGGCAGGACCCCTCTCTGTGACTACATTGATCATTCCCTCCTTTCCCTCAGACAATGGGCAGGGTGTTAAGAGGTGTGCCAGGGACCACGAGGCAGGGAGCACATCATCCCCCAGGTCTCCTCCAGTTCCTCATTGCTCATCTCACCCTTGGTCCATAGTGGCAGGTGTTGGTCCTGTGGAATTACTCTTGAGGATGCTCTGAACTTGCTCACTCAACTTGCAGCAGATGTGGAAAGTGACTTATAAGACAAACAGAAATATTTTGGGCACCACTCAGCTGGTGACTGCCCATGACGCCACAGGATGGGTTCTTGTTAGGAGCAATGGCACTGGGGGAAGGCAGTCTCCCCTCCTGACACTGAGGTTCTGGGCCAGGTTGGCTGAGCAGGAGGCCACCTCCCAGGATAACCAGACAGCAGCACATCGCTATTTATTCCAGTGCTGTCTGGTGTCGATTTCTCAGCTACGGCCCCTGGAGGCTCCAGCACCCTGGGAAGTGGGGCACTCTCCCTCTCCGACCACCACCAATCACCTGGTGTGCTTGTCATTCTCTTGTCTATCACCCTGGTCACACAGCAGAGGAGTCACACCGTCATTATTAGATAATGGTCCTGGAAGAAGGTGTGTGAGCCTCAGATGCTGTGGTTTCGTGAAAATTCTTGTTGTTTCTGTGTGTGACTGTATTCGTTTCCTAGGCCTGCCACAACAAATTACTGCAAACTTGGTGGCTTACCACAATAGAAACTTCCTCTCTCACAGTCGTGGAGGTCAGAAGTCCAAAATCAAGGTGTCAGAAGGGCCATGCTGCCTCCGAAGGCCCTAGGGGAGGATCCTTCCTTGCCTTTCCCAGCTCTGGTGGCTCCTGGTGTTCCCTGGCTTGTAGCAGCATCATTCCAGTCTCTTCCTGTGTCTTCACATGGCCTTCCCTGTGTCTGAATCCAAATTGCCCTCTCCTTTCTCTTAAAGCACACCAGTCATCCCTAAATCCAGGATGATTTCATCTCAAGATCTTTAACTATTAGATCTGCAAAACCCCCGGTTCAAATAAGGTCACATTCTGAGGTTCCAGGTAGACAGGAAATGTTGAGGGACACTATTCAACCCAGTACCATGGCTGATCTAGGGGAGGAGGTGTTTAACTCTGAGTAGGTTTTACTGAATGTAGAATTATTCCCGACTCCTGAACCCAGAAATTCTTCTTAGCTTTCTTCCCTGATTTTCTAAGGCAGGAAACCAGAAGCGTGCCCTCCCTCCCCAGACAGTCTCTATTACCTGCTTTCTTTGTTTAATTTTCTTTTCAACACGTAGTGCTACCTGGGGAGATCTGGTTTACTTACTTGTGTACTTGAGTTTGTGCCCACCTGCCCCCAGGGAGGTGAGCTCTGTGAGAGGCTGTGCTGGCTGCATGCCCACCGTGGGCAGGGCTTGCAGAACTCTGCACGCTCGTGGCAGCTTCTCCTGCCCGATGCATGAGGCCCACTTCACCAGAGGGGGCCCAGACGTTTATCGTTTCTTCTCTAATTATCTTGGGTCAATTTGCAGCTCCACAAAAGTGACTTTTCATGTGATGAGGCACATAGCCTCACCAAGTTTTGCCGAATACAGAGCTGGGCCTATGATGCCAGTGGACTACAGATTCAAATCTTCATTCTGGCGTTAATTAGCCCTGTGACCTCAGGCAAGTGGCTAAGTCTTTGTGCGCCTAGTCTCTTTGCCTATGAAGGGGACTCTGCCGTCTGTCTCCCGGGTAGTGAGGACAACACAGTCAGCCTCCGTGAAGTGCCTGCCACGGGTCCCTGCACACAGCCGGTGCTCACTAAATGTTCCCTTCTTTCCCCATGTTTTGGCTAAGTTAGGTTAGATTAGTGACTAAAATCTAAGCTGAAACTTTGTCTTAATCTAGTTCTGCATCAGTTTGTCGTTTCTTAGAGCAGCATCTCCTGTTTCCAGCTCTTCTCTTGTTCATGAGCCTTTTCCCTCTCTCCTTTGCAATTTTACATTCAAATCTACCTGACCACTGGTGTCTGCACGATGGAAGTTTATTTGACCCCCAAAATCAACCTTTTACAAGCGTGATGAAAAAACACAAAAACCCAGAAATGGCAGTTCCCACCACAAGGAAGAATTCAGCTTCGCCTGGGCCTTGTCCAAGTATGAGTTACCAAAGTTTCTGAGTTAAGTTTCTCGGGGCCTGAAAGTCTTCCAGAGTAGTCTCTATCTAATATTACTCACAATTTCAACCTGCTACTTAAATCCACTGTCCTGCCTGTTGTACTTGGTTTAGCCTTACTTTGATTTGAAGTTCTTCCACATTGTGGCTGCGAGCCTGTCTATGATAGGTTTGCTTCCTAATTCACAAAAGAACCCTTGTTCCACTGCCTTGGAATAGCTGCTTGTGAATAGCTGTAGTGATGGAGTGTCTATCCCTGGAGGGAAAGGAAAATAATGGTTTCCTCAACTGTAAAGAGAGAAATTTGCTCTTGGGCTAGTGACTATTTAAGTATTAAACAGTTTTCTTTGTAAAAGTTAGAAGTGAAACTACCCAGAAACACTTAGTGGCTGACCAGACGCTAAACTCCTGGCATTTTCAAAGTGAGATTTATTGACTTATAAATGTGCTGCATTGTTCACAAAAGCATGGACTGTCTTAGGAAGTTTTCTAAATATTGATGGAGAGCTGGCCACTGTTATGCAAGTTCATTATCCTGGCTAAACTGCTAAGACTACAAATAAAATTATATCACTCAAGGAAAAGGAAAAAGAAAAAAATATATATAGGTGGCCTAGGAAAGAAATCAGGCTGGGATGGGGAGAACGGAAGAGAGCCACACCACTGCCTTGCCGTCCACGGTGAAAATGGATTCTGTTGTCAGATCTCAGCAGCTGTGGTGCCATCACTGCTTACTAGTCAGAAAGATCGTCACTTCCTAAACTCCTGCCTCGGGAGGGTATGGGGAGCTCTCACTCCCTGGGAGTAACTTAGTTGCTTCAGAAAGTGTATCTATCCACTCTTTCTAACATAACTCTTACATAAGCCAGCTAGTGAATCCCAAAATATAGTAGATGGCACAGTAATGTCATAAAATATTCTAGTCCAAAAGATCCTATCATCAGTTTGGTTTGGAAAACACCGCTGCTGTGTCACACTCTTCCCCTCAGAGCTCACGATGCACATTGTTGCAGAGTCCTACAATAAATGAAGCTGTCTAGACTGTGATTAATCTAACATTTTCCCAAACTTTTTTCTACAACAGAGCTTTCTTATCACTTAACCCAGATTAAGATCTCACAGAATTGAGTTTTTAGGTAAATAATGCAAGTTTAAAATTCTTGAGACCAGGCCCTGGTGAGATTTAAAAATAGCTGGTAGGGGAGGGAGAGGATCCCAGAAAGAAGCTGATTTATGGGCATCATTCTCTGACCACAACTTGATAAGCACCAACTATGCTTGGTTCAATCTATGAGATAAAACTTAATAAGGACAGACTTCAAAAAACATTCAGTGCAAAGTATATATTTTTCAAGTACACGGGATACACAGTTTGGTCTAAGTTCATTTGAAAAAGCCGTAGGTGTTTTCGTTATTCACACACTAATAAGAACTGTCAGTGCACGTGAGTAGCTAAAAGGAACGGAGATGAGATGGGCTGAGCCGTCCGTGGGTTATCACGTCTAGGTGAGGGGCAGTGAAGCGATCACTCCACTGTGATGTAGAACATTCCGGGCCACTTGTGTTTAGTTCCTGGTGCCATGTCATGAGACCCAAGTTGACAAATTTTCATGTGCTCATAATAGATGAGCGAGGGTGTGAGAGAGTGAAAACCACGCTGGATGAGGAACTAGAGAAGGAGCCATGGTGCATTCCTCTAAGTCAGCTACTGTGGAGATGAGACACTGCTGTTCTGTGAGCTTCAAATGCACAACTTCCTGTTTAGGTCCCAGCTGGGCTCTGGCCTTCACTGCCTGGGGCTGCTCCCTCATCCCCTTGGCTTTTCTGTGCTCCACGTCAGGATTTATGAAGGTGAGGTCCAAGATG